CAGTCAGCCGGTGACCGTGTCATGTGTCACAGCCCACATTGAACAACTATGGCAGTTGGATGAACCTCCAGAACAACATCAGCACCTGCCATCGTTCCCGCTATGTCGCCAGGGCAGCGGGTACCAAGTGGGTCTCTTGTGGCGAAATGAGCGTCGCCCAACGGATAACTTTACTCAAGCTAGAGTCATCGCAACGCGGCTTCTTGAAAAGCTGAAGAGGAATGGAAAGCGTGCGCTCTATGATGATGTGCTGATCAGGGAGTACCGTGAGCTTGGAGCAATTGAGCTGGAGCCATGTGAGAGCGATGCCGGGTGCTATGTACCGCATCATGGTGTATTCCGCGAGCACGCTGCAACCACGAAGTTAAGAGTGGTGTTCAATGCCTCGGCGACGGCTCCAGATGGCAAGTCGTTGAACGACATGGTTGACCCTGGACCGTCGCTATTGCCGAGTCTCGCAGGTATGCTATTACGGTTCCGTGAATATAAGAGCGCGCTGCAAGCGGACATCCGCAAGGCTTTCTTCATGGTCGCGGTTAATCCCGAAGACCGTCCGTACCTGCGTTTCTTGTGGCCCGGTCGAAGCGACAGCGATGAACTGTTAACCTGGAGGCTAACGAAACTGCCATTTGGCGTAAACTGCTCGCCGTACATGCTTACTGCGGTGATTCAGCATCACTTGAAGGAGCTACGGGCGTTGTCTGCACCCAAAGAGCGAGATCGTATTGATCTCTTGCTCACGAGTTTCTACGTTGACGATTTGGTCTCTAGTGTCTCAAATGCCTCGGAAGCCAAGGAGATGCAAGAGTTCAGCGTGCGTGTGCTTACGGATGCTGGCATGGAGTTACGCAAGTGGCGAGGCAACGAAATCCCGTGCGATCCAGAGGCCGGAGATAAAGTCCTCGGTCTGAAATGGAAAACCAGTGATGACTTGCTCAGCATAGCAGCGCTAGGCGAGTCCGATAGGCCGTCTGTTTGGACCCGGCGATCCCTCCTCAAGTGTGTTGCATCAGTGTTTGATCCGCTAGGTCTAGCAGCACCGGCAGTTGTGCCGGGAAAGATACTGCTACAGCAAGCCTGGAAAGTCGGAGGCGACTGGGATGATATGTTGCCTGATGGCATCGCAGCCGCATGTGCGCAATGGTGGGGAGAGTTGGCCGAAGTGGTGAGCATTGACATACCACGTTGGATTTGCTGCAATCTTGACACGCCGATTGCGCTTCATGCCTTCGCCGATGCCAGTGAGAAAGCGTTTGGATGTTGTTTGTATGCCGTCGTCAATGGACAGTCGCACTTGGTATTTGCCAAGGCCAAAGTGGCACCTGTGTCTCCGCCCACGTTAGCCCGCCTTGAGTTACAAGCAGTATGTCTAGCGGCTCGCTACGCTGAGTTTGTGGTGAAGGAGCTGCGTGTGACCGTCACGCAAGTCTATGGCTGGACTGACAGTCTCACTACCGTTCATTGGATCAGTAATCCATCGTACAAATGGAAAACATTTGTGGCTAACCGCGTCAGTCAAGTCCAAGAGATATCGAAGAAGGTCGGCATTGTGTGGAACCATTGCCCGGGCCTTCACAACCCAGCAGATTTACCGTCGCGTGGGAGTAGTGCACAGCAGATCCGTAGTCCGTTCTGGAGGGGCGGACCAACCTGGATCACGGAGCCCAATGACTGGCCCACCGCATCCTCAACCGCAGCTACAGATGAGTCCAGTGTAGAGGTACGAGTGTCAGCCACCACCTGTAGTCGAGAATCTGATAAGGAATGGTGGCTCCGATTCAGTAAATGGTCGAGGGCACAGGGCATGGTGACTCGGATGTTGCAGTGGAAGCACACTGAGCCTCGTGCTGAACTCTATTTTGCAGCAGACAACGTATTGTACCGCATCGTTCAAGCCGCATGTTTCGCTGAGGATCTTGAGCTGATCAAGCAAGGTCAACCAGTGAAGCCTGGGTCGAAGGTGTATCAGCTTGCACCGTTTCTGGATGAGCATGGAGTGCTCAGAGCCGGGGGACGACTTCAGCACAGCGAGTTGGCGTATGGAGCCAAGCACCCAGTCCTGTTAGGCAAACATCATCTGACCGAGTTGCTGTTGGAGAAAATGCATGTTGAAAGGATGCACCAAGGTGTAGAAGGAGTCTTGTCGTTCATCCGTCAGAAATTTTGGATCATCGGTGGTCGACGGGCGCTACGCAACATTACTCAGCGATGTGTTACATGCCGCCGCTACAAGGCTAAGGCTGCCTCAGAAGTCTGCCCGCCGCTGCCGGAAGACCGAGTTGTTCACGAGAGGCCGTTCGCAACTACCGGCATCGACTATGCTGGTCCGTTGTACGTGCGCCGTGGTGAGTCATCTCCGAAGGTATGGATAGCATTGTTTGTGTGTGCCACCACCAGAGCAGTTCACTTGGAGGTGGTCGATAGTTTAAGTACTGAGTCATTCTTGATAGCATTTCGGAAGTTTGTCGCGAGACGTAGTTTGCCGTCTCGGATCAGGTCTGACAACGCTACAACGTTCAAGGCGGCATCTGACAAACTGAGTGTGCCATGGATGTTCAATCCTCCAGCTGCACCATGGCATGGAGGCTTCTATGAGAGAATGGTTGGTACAGTGAAGAGTGCCTTGAAAAAGGTAATGGGAACAGCGTTTCTGAAGGTCCAGGAGCTTGAGACCCTCTTGTATGAGGTTGAAGCAGTGGTGAATAGTCGTCCGCTAACTTATGTGTCTGATAGCCTGGATGAGCCACCAGTAACCCCTGCAATGATGATGGGTGACATCTGGATGTCGTCAGAGAAGCCAGCAGGTACCCTGGACGCTGCGCAGATGTCATCGAGATTGCGTTACCTAAGTCGGACACTGGAGCATGTCAAGAATCGTTGGGAGGTGGAGTACCTAAGTCAGCTGAACAAACACCAACAGACCATGTCCCGCCCTTTAGCTGTGGGTGATGTTGTCTTTGTTCTCGATGATACCAAGCGCAAACAGTTCTGGCGTTTGGGACGGATCATCGAGTTATTCCCTGGTCGAGATGGTAAGCGTCGTGTTGCCAAGGTTAAGTTGAGTACCAGTACCCTGTTGAGGCCGATTCAAAGGTTAGTGCCGTTAGAAGTATCGTCACAGGACGTGGCTCCTGGGCTTGCAGATACCGCTCAACCTGCTATCGTCGCTCAGCAGCCAGCGTATGAACCGTCAGCACCGTTACCACCACCGCGGCAGCAGGAGATGACGCGTTCTGGGCGCATAGTCAGATCCCCGGATCGTTTTTGACTTGTGTGCATTGTTGTACGGCGGTGAGAAGCCCTTTGGTGGGGAGAATGTTGCAAACCACCAGTTCTCAATTGGGAAAGGCCTTCGCGCTTATGGCGTTGTATTCGTCGCAATGTTGTCTTTCGACTCCGCCGTACCGCTGATGTTGCTGCATGGCATACGCTATATGCGCTGTGTGTGTTTTTTTGCTGTATACGCTGTTATGTCCAGTTTTATATGCTTATGTTTTGCATGTACGCTGTTTTGCATGCTATAAATAGTTGTCCTCGTGCCGTGTGGGGTCGTTCGTTCCTGATACTTTAGAGAACCAGAGGGTTCACAACAACTCGTTTGGATTTTTCAAAATTAATATAATCGTACTCGGAATAAATCAGAGTACTCGCTCATACATGGTACATGCATTTACCACAGAAATCTGCAGTTTCAGAGCAGCAGTGGGCAGATATTGATGTGCAGAGGTGTGGTTAACATTTGTTCACCAGTAGAGAGAGCCCAAATGACCCACCAACCAATACACTCGAGAAAAGGACTGCCGATTGGTTCAATCAGGGTTGTATCACATGATTTTTAACAAAATTTAAAGGCCTTTAGTGTGCGAATTCTTAGGACATCAAGAATACTCGAATACTCGAATATTCGATCGGAGAAAATCAGAGTACTCGAACTCGGGATCTCAGTGCCAACTTTCACCCCTATTAATCTGACACATACAAGCCATGTAGTCAGTCCTTTCAAAGTTCCGGAAAGTGTAAAGACGTACCAACAGGGTCACAGGTGACCCTGTACTATATTTTCAACCGGGTCCAAGCGCCGCCCAACCGGGTGGATTACCCGGCTCACCCGGCGCTGGAGCAGACACTGGTGTATACAAATAATTTCGTATCTCAACTTGTACACACAGGAGAGTTAAGCCTAGTTCACATTCGACGCAACGCCGACGGTACGGGACGTAAGGGCTTGTCGGGAGGGCTGGGGTGAGCTGTAAAATCCTGTACGATTCGTACGACACGACATGCAGCAGTCGTTGCGACGTTCAACGTCGAACGGCGCGAGTCATAAGGCACGGTCCGTGACGGGGTAACTTTCGGACCTAATTTCTCGTTTTCGGGACTTCTTTTCAATTATTTCTCCTTGAAAGAAGCGGAATCAAGTTAACAATACCAGTTTTTCATGAAGAACAAAAAATTAGCCCTGAAAGTTGTGGCATTCAAATAATAGCCCCAGGAAATGATAGAATAGTTCGTCTGTCACGCTTCTGAACTATCCCTAAATAAAATAAGTGACATGAGATCTTATGTTGCTAAAATTCAACTCAAGTCGTGCTAGCCATTGTGTGAGTTATCATGGGAAGCGCAGTGTTCGAAATGCTAAAAATATCTAAGTACGAATCGGGAGTAGTCGGCGCACGACGCCGTCTTCTGTTCACATTCGAATTGCAACCGTTTTGTACGCTTGCGTCCCCGTCTACGGTGTGAAAAGTTGGATCGATCCAACTCTTCCCGTCGCTTCCCGATCTGTACGGTAGTACGGTTGCGTTCCCGTTCCTGGTGTTCACATTGGACGCCGTCAGACCGTCCCGTCGATCCTTACGTCGCGTCCCGTCGAATGTGAACTAGGCTTAACAAACGACCACTCTACGCTTAATCAACAATACTGTACTTTTGGCTGGAACCTGTAAATTAACGGAAAAGGGCACCTCGCAGACACACCTAGCACAGCACCAACACTATACCTGGCTTGGTCGGGTCGACTTTCGTCTTTTTCTTCTTCATGAATGCCAGCATGGGGTCTCCCTCTCTGTCTTCGTCACGCAGCATCCGATCAAGGTCAGTGTCATCTCGATACCGTGCCAGAGGCTTGCTCATCTCGTGTAGCATGTCATCGACCTTGTCCGCCATCTGCTGCTTCTGAACGAGTCTGGACCAGAGAGTGAGGAATAGGACACAGTAAGACACAGGCTAAATACAACATCAACAATGAACTGACCAAATACAGTGTCTGGAGCAGTGAACAGCGAGTCTACATGTACATTCACAAACAAAGTTTAAAGAGGACAAGTCAAATTGACATGTGGCTACTATATTCAATGTGTCTTCAGAGAGTGATTCAGAAACTCTATCTGCAGCTGTGTGTATCTCGACTTGCCAGGCATCAGACGGCAGCAATGCAACACCACCAAGAAAGCGGCAGCAACAAAGGCATGCCACTGATCGTAATCTTTCGGATAGCAGAGACACGTCACTACCACGAACACGGCGGCAGCAGAGGCACAATCGCCATAGTTGGGACAGAGACGCGTCACCAGGGTGAGTAAGGCGACAGTAGAATACTGCTGGTCGTCATAGTTTGGTAATCAGAGGCACATGGCCACCAGGAGTACGGTGATAGCAAAGTGCAGTTTATTATGATTATGATTATTTCTTATTTTGGTAGGGATTTCCTAACAGGCAATGTTGCCTTTTTACTGGGAACCCTAAATGTGACTTTGCGAGAGCGCGGAACAAAGCAGGCGAAAGCAGGCGAAAGCAGTTTGAAGACAATGCTGGTCAGACGGCTGCAGTGGCTGGTGCACTGCAAGGTAGTTTGACCCTGTTTCACCACCTGGCATCAGCACCATTATCACAGTTCTTCACCGATCAGTATCATGATGGCATAGCTGACTGTACACTGGGTACGTATCGGCCTTGGCGGCCATTCACACTTCTACTTTCAAGGGCCATTCTACACGTGATGCATGTGCTTTGCAGGCCGCCGCGGCCTCTATATCTGCGGATGATACTATCAAGGTAGTAGGGTGGAAGAGTGTGAACAACTTCCAGAAATTCAGAAATTCTACTGTCGGCGACCTATCAGAGACACCCAGAGTCGGGCCCGTCATCAGTTTGCAGAGTCCGTTCTTAGTTCCTCTTCTGCCGTTGAGAATGCCTGACCTGCACATGATGGCATGTGCATCCTGCTCTGCTTATCAGTGGCTAGGGTGTGTGCCAGTACTAGCAGACTCTACGTAAGACCCTCTGTGCTACAATTAGACAACAGTAGTGCCCATGGGCTATTCTCTGCTAGTTTTACCACCTACTTATACGTCTCTAGCATTATGCTGGATACGCCAGTGTAACCAGGGAGTTCTATAGACCCGGTAGAGGACACGGCGCAGATGCCCGTGGACTGTGTGTGACTCACCTTATGTTCAAGCCTACACAGGGTATCATAATTCACGATTCGACACACCACAAGAAAACCCATCTGGGAGTGGGCTGTCCATGAGTATTTCTTTGAGAACTTTTGGATAGTGATAGCAGGAAATCATCCTATGGGGCGTGCTGACCACTTGAACCGAGCAAAATAGAAAACTATGAGATTGTGGGTGCGATTGAAAATTGATACTTGCTGATTTTTTCAAGAGTTTTTACCAACGACGAGTGGTGACGTGCTGTGTTCCTTTGGCCCAAACTCGCTCACCCGTTTCTCTCCAGAAAACTGATCCAGGGATATATTAGGGCACAATAGGACTGAGCCCTTTTTGAAATTTCCGTTTCTTTTTGTTGCTTCTCTGTCACTGGAGGCTTCTTTCTTTATCGATTTTCGGGTATTCCTCGCTGTATATCCACGTTGGAGAAGAGTCAAATCTTTGGTACTTTTGTTCAATTTTTGATGAAAGTAAAAAAATTGGAAAGTTGTTATATATCTGCACATTCCGAGGTTCCGGCGATTTCTACTCAGGGTCTTTCGAGCTTATGTGTGCCATGTTTTCTCCCGTGTCTATCAAATCCCTGAAACAAACCTGTCCTTACCCTCTCCCCCACTGCATCTGCTTCTCCAGCTCTGCTGCCTTGACATCCTCCTCCTCGCGTTTCTTCTTCTTTTCCAAGGCAATATCCATCTTCTTGCCAGTCTTCTTATCACGGAATACTGTAGCCGTCCGAGTGTCCTGCGTCTGCTGTCGCCGCTTTCGTGGTGGAGATGCATCTCCACCGTCTCCACTGTCCGAACTACGGCCCTGCTTTTTATGCTGCCTTCTTCGGGGTGGTGATGCATCTTGGGTTTCCATCTGCTGTCGCCGCTTTCGCGGTGGAGATGCATCTCCACTGTCCGAACTAAGGCCCTGCTTTTTATGCTGCCTTCTTCGGGGTGGTGATGTATCTTGGGTTTCCATCTGCTGTCGCCGCTTTCGCGGTGGAGATGCATCTCCACCGTCTCCACTGTCCGAACTACGGCCCTGCTTTTTATGCTGCCTTCTTCGGGGTGGTGATGTATCTTGGGTTTCCACGACTACAATTGGCTGGTCACCGTCAGAGTCGCCTCCAAAAGCAGCTGATCTGGCAGTGAGATCTTCGTCTACTATAACCATTCCTTTCACTTTTTTCCGACGGACTTTCTTTTTTGCTTTGCCTCCACCCTCACAATCTTCCGTCGACATGTAGCGTTTCAAATAATCCAATTTGCTTGCCATTTTCGATATCAAATCTCATTTACTCTCAAGGTACCAAGTTGATATGGTACGTGGCTCATTTACAATTGAGGGGGGATACTAAAAAGAGCCAGTATAGCTAAGAACACTTCAGTCTTCACCGAACTTTCACCTCGACTTTTCTCCATTCATTCAACAGCTGATCTGACATGAAAATCAAATCATGAAGGGATATTTTTTAGAAAACAGGGATCACGATAATTATCGATCGACGTGCGTTTTCTGGCGACACAACGCGTTGCTACGGTGATGACATCACGTGGATCGATGCACAAAAACCGGAAATCAAAGAAAGTCAGAAAATAATTCAAACAGCTGAACAGAGCTAGACTACAACTTAGTAGTACAAGAGACGTCCAAATGCCAAAGGAAGTAAGAACTGAGAAACGACAGCTATAAACACAAGGAAAACGAAGATCTGTGCTGAAGCCTGAAAGGATTTGAAAACAATTTCAACCCTATCCTGTCAGAGAATGTTAGCACCCACAGGGTGAAGGCAAGCCTTGTCAGAGCAGAACCTACACTAGGACGGACTAGAGCTGCAGAAGGGGCTTTCTGAAGGTATGCAAAGGTAAGTACAATTCGAATTCGAGATACACAGTAATCAACTTAGAAACAGCACCAGCTGTATTATAACCTGTGAACTGCTTGTAACAATCAGTGATGTACTTGTGACTAACTCCTGGTCAGCGCTTTGACTGTGCTCTGTGACGAACTAATGATTCAATAATTCCAACAAAATAGAACGTTTTCGTTCCCTTATCAGAATACTGCAGGGAATGATAAAATTACTCAGGAGACCATAGCAACGAGAGAGCTTGGAAGCTCAGGGCCCTACGCTATGCTTTTTTGCCTTGATGACCTAGACAAAAAAAGCATAGGGATGTTATAAAATTCTTTAAAAAATTCCTTTTTTTTTAAGACATAACCTGGGATTCGAACCCGCACTATCGCGCCCTGCATGCATCCCCCGATACACTTCGCATACATACTAATTCTTCCAAGTTGCTTCACATTATGATCTTGCATTTGAAAGCCCTATTTGAATATGCATTGTGGCCAGCCGTCTTTGATGGTACGGTACGGTAGAGTTAGGTACGGGACAGGTACGATCGAGGGTAATACGACACCGTCTCCCGTACCGTACCATCAAACACAGCTGGCCACATACAGCTGGCCGCAATATTCAAATAGGGCTTTCAAACGCAAGATCATAACGTGAAGCAACTTGGAAGAATGGGTATGAATGCGAAGTGTATGGGGGAATGCATGTAGGGCGATAGTGCGGGTTCGAATCCCAGGATATGCCTGGAAAAAATAGGAGAATTGAAAAATGTATAACATCCCTATGATTTTTGCCGTCAGATACGGGATAGCGCCAGGCGTGACACAAACAAACAAACAAACACACAAATACCAAATTAAAGCTGTGTGGACCCTGGCTAGCGCCAGACGTTACTGAAGTAACGTCTTCTGCATAGCTACGGGAATAAAGGTAATTAGTTGCTCTCCATCTGAGTCCATTAGTTGCTAAAACTACAACATTTAACCAGGCGTGATATGATATATAGAGAAGACAAATATGCAATGTCAAGGTGAGATAACAGCAGTACTGCCAGTAGCTTTATGCATTGTGCATGTACTTACAGCTACAGAAACAAAAAAAACAAGGGAAACGCAGGAGGACACACCACACGTCAAGAATTCTTCGTGATGCATTCACGGCCGATAGTGCCAAACAACTGCAAAGCCAACACGTTCTCCTTCTGAACGCATTGTTCAGGATTCAACTTTCGAAAGACTTGGGACAACTCTTCTAATACAGCAAGATGCAACTTTGACGTACCACGTGTCAAAACAGAAAAGACAATCAGTGTACCACTCACGACAACTAGCACTAACTCAACTGACAAGTGATGAGCGAAAGCGATAAATACAGATAACTGTGGCTTCTTGGCTGGTTGTGCGAAATAACTTTGGTGCATGCGTATACTACACACTAATCTGGCTCCTTGCACACTCTGAGCAATCTTCACGAGTTACTGATGTGCTGGAAGTGGGGATCCTGAACATGAGTAGGGAAAAAAAGATATTTGGGGAAGCTATCATCTTGTAATGTACGGTGCTTAGCTATCATCTTGTAATGTACGGTGCTTGCCAGTAGTAGACGTGTGAGAAAGCTGATATTTTCCAGTCAGGGCGGACCAGGGTATGGCAGTGCAACAGCGCAAGGCACCCCAGCAGTTAGAGGTGGCGAAGACAGTGGCAGTATCGGCATCTACAGCAGCGGCTGTAGCAGGATCTGATCTGCGAGTGCGTGTCTCCGGGGGAGGGGGCGATCCCTGTAAGCTTTTTCTCGAGTCTGACTTCTTTTGCGATTCAATCCACAAGGTGGTAGGTAAACATGTGAATGGTATACTTGCATGAGCTCCCATAGCTCAGTCGGTTAGAGCGTCGTGCTAATAACGCGAATGTCGCAGGTTCGAGCCCTGCTGGGAGCACGCTCTTTTTTCCTGTTTTGCTGAGATTCGTTGATATTGAGTTTTTTTTAGGTGTCTGTTGATCTGACTGTCTTGAAACAGACTTTAACTTTCACCTGTTCTTCAATGTAACTTCTTTTTAATATTAGTGTATGGACTTGTTAGCTCTCTACACATTTATATTGTTCAGCACAGATACTCTTCAGTCACGACATTCCACTGATGAATGTGACGGGAAGATCGATTTTGGAAAGCTTTCATGACTTTGTTGTAGTGTGGCGATGACAGCAGAATTTGTTCTCTTTATTGCTATTTAAAAATTTATAATACCGGTAATCTTTGTGCAGCGTGGTGGCTAGCTCCATCTTGTTGCACCACTAGTGCCCTGTACTGCCCTGCCCTTGATGGCTGTGTTTTTTTTGTTGGTGCTTTCTCTCTCTCTCTCTCTCTTTTGTCCATGGCTTATGGCAGAAATTGCCTTTCGTGTATGTAGGTATGCTTGTCCGTGCTTGAGTCTTACATTGTACTCTGTTTCGCCGCTACGGTCATGCTTAAATGATGAAATCTTGAATTTCGTTAAAAATAGCTATCTGCAAGATTTGTGTGCATGTGGGGTGGGGGTGGGGGCATGTGGGGTGGGGGTGGGGGCATGAGGTCACTTGCTACTGGTTAGTACAAATTAGAACACTCTCCTCCTGTTCAGAGTTGTTCTCTTCCTGTCGTGTCGACAATGGTCGTCCTTCTTTCTTTCTGTTTCCCAATGTCGCGTCTCTTATTGACTGTGGATATAATAGTACTTACTTGAAGTACCAACATACCATGGCGCAATGTACAGGATTCAAACCTGTGCTTCTCCTGATGCTAGTGATAGCGTTGCCACACGCCGGTAGCCAGCTTGAAATTCTTTTGTAACTTTTGATGTCTGGCTAGGCATAATAGCGGCACTGAGCCAAGTGACGGGGAAAGACTGCCGACGTGCCATAGGCTGAGAGATCGTTGAGTTGCACACTCTTATTTTAGTATATTTTGTATTACATGTTGCTCATCACATCAGACTTCATTGCGATCGGTTCGGCCAGTAACTCCGAGCTCCGCTGACGAGACCTAGGAAGGCCGAAACAGCTAGCTGTGAGGAGATTGAATTGTGTTTTACATATATTTTCCGGAGTATAAGCCACACCCAGAATTTTGGTCTCAAAATTCCGACATGTAACCCTATTTATCACCATTAATTTGACCATCGTAGCCGCACTGACTTTTGTTGTTGTTGTTGTTGTTGTTCACTTGGAGCTTCTTGCTTGTTCCTGTGGGTTTTTTTAGAAGACTTGTTCAGACTTCTCCAGGACCGGCAGAAGTAGTTCTTGACTGGTCCAACCTTGCCATAGTCGTTCATGCCTTACATAATGATATCACAGGTACACATGACCTCCTCAGCAGTAAATACACGTAAGTCGTTGGTGGCCATAGAGTTGGCCCGGTCTTGACCTGACCAACTGGACCTGTTTTCACTGGTAATGCAAATGATCCAGCGTTAGGACACAGCATATAGTCGAGGGTGAAACGCTGAGTAAGTTGTATCTATAATTTCCTCTCTCCCCACTGTGTGTACGTGTAATGACTCGTGTATGCACGTGCTTTGTGGGACTGTGTCAGTTGCAGGACTTTGTGGGGGTTCCATTGCGGTGCCTGGGTATTGTAGGGTCACAGTGTGACTTCCTGGTGGCACTGTCAGGACTGAGGCTGCATGCGGTAGATGGTAGATTTGATTGGCCATTCGGCTAGTTAATCGTGTTTAATTAGGACCTGAGTCGCCATGGTATCACAATTATCATTGTTCTCATGTCGGCACTTGGAGACATGCTTTAAAACACTTGTTGGGGCATGATGGTGATCCTCAGTGAGCGTGAGAACCACATCGTAAAAACCGAATCACTCTTCTTCTAAAAGAATCTTGGAAACGGCACAGCTGCTCAAACAGTGCCGAACACCCAGGGGCAGAGCCGTGTAGTAATGCTTCAACTACATCCTGAACCAGAATGGATGTTCTGCAACACATGGTTCTGACTTCTGGGTGTATTGTTTACATGTAAATAAATAGATTCCCAGACAATAATTATTATTTCTTTGTTGATGATTTTTTTTGTTACGTTGTACTTCAGTACTCCACAGACCGTGACCACGGGGCAATTATTAGCATAGTTTGCTCGGCATCAGTGCGGAGGTTTCGGAGCACCTCGTGGGTCTTCAGCAAGAGGTGTAACGTCGCCTGTTTTCACAAACCAGTCCAGAAGATCCATGAGCATAGTATCACGAACCTGTAGGCAAACAAAGAAATGGAAAAAATTCAAAGAAAAAAGTTTTCAAAAGAACTGATGCATTCACTAACCATACTGATAATAATACTGAAGTAATACCGATACAAAGAGAAGACAACTCGTGCAGGTGTGTTCACTGAAGACATGTGTGCTTTCCACTGCTTGGAGCAGCACATGCATGAGCCCACCAGGGGTCTTAACCCACTCGACTTGATAATGACTGACCTGCTGGGAGATGCGACAGTCAACACCTTAGCACCTCTGGGAAACTCTGACCATCTGGTGTCGGCGTTATGCTCGGCCGCCTGAAATTACGATTTTGAAAACATATCTCCCCTCCTGCTGGAGCAATTTCTCCATGCTACGCTGATAACCACACAAGAGATGAGGTTATACTGCATGAAGATTGATCAACAATATCGTGTTTCCATGCCCATATTAAACCAACACAAGACCACCGGCTAGGGCATAGTACTCACCTCCTGATATTTCACATTGTCATACATATTTGTGAGCTCCCGTGGGTCCTCCTTGAGAGCGTAGAACTCGGACACCCCGTCAGCTCTGAACACCAGCTTATAGTCCATGTTCTTGGCCATCACTGCCCGAGGAACTCCCTCGTTGGCTTCTTCTCCTCTGCGGGGGTAGTACCTGGATTCGAAGTACATTTACATTGTAGCAACACAGGCAGTTGGCGAGGAAGACTGTGAGAACAGAGTAAGCGGTTGAACCATGGCTGAAATGAAAGGTGCAATGTACATGCGCATTGACTACCCAGGGTCTAGGCACTATTCAATTACAATGCACTTGTATGCTAGAGAAGATGACCAAGTATGAGGTAGATTCACTTGCTAAGAATACATATTCAAATTATTGTGCTGTAAGAATCCGCTTCGGGCCTGAGACTGAGAGAGAGAGAGAGAGAGAGAGAGAGAGAGAGAGAGAGAGAGAGAGAGAGAGAGAGAGAGAGAGAGAGAGAGAGAGAGAGAGAGAGAGAGAGAGAGAGAGTCTCCTTCCAAGTATTATGAGAGAGAGAGAGAGAGAGTCTCCTTCCAAGTATTATGAGAGAGAGAGAGAGAGTCTCCTTCCAAGTATTATGAAGCGAAGATGCAGACAGAAGATGCCGGCCGAAGATACAGACAATCCATGCACAGTCAGCCTATGGACATGTTGTTCAGCTTTATACAACTTACAAGTTGTGCGGGTCTTTGGTAGCATCATGTTCTGGGTCGAACGTCTCGATCTCACGATGGTACAGGAATCCCCCTTCGCTGTACACTGTCCTGTTGGAATCTCCCGGTGATCCGTGAAGTTGAGCCAAGAAGCTCTTGGCAAAGCGTATGTGAGACACATTGACGTTGGCCATATCCGCAATGGTCTCCATCATGTCAAAGGAATTGATGGGCTGCTCAATGACCTGGCCGGCCTTGCCTCCAGGAATGCGAACAATCATCGGTACTCTTGTCAGAATGTCGTCCATTGCACCAGGCCACTTCTCCACTAGGTTATAATCTCCAGAGAAGTCCCCGTGATCCGATGACACAAATATCGATGTGCTGTCTGCCAACGGGGATTTGTCTATGCCCTGAACAAGCTGACCCAGAACCCAGTCAACGTAGCTGACTTGACCAAGGTAGATTGCATTGATCTCTTCAAAGAATGTCTGGTTAAAGGATTCCAACTCCCGGTACTTGATAATGCCAGTGTGGTATTTGGGCTTGTTTGGCTGGTTGGGCGGACGCAAAGGAGCCTGGCTGTGAACTTGCTCCGCTGAGTACCTGAAAGACAACATGTTTGATAGAAGAATTACTATGAACACGCAGCTTGCAGGCAAGGGACTGCAGCTTGCAGGCAAGGGACTGCAGCTTTTGGTTCCATACATTGCCCAAAGATGAATTATGTGATTTGCTAGCGTTGTGTTCCCGCATGCCTAGCAAGTAGCAATGCCAATGCTAAACTGTGGCAATGTTGCAATGTTTCAGTGCATCATGCATTGCATACACATATCAAACTATACTTACATGTCATGGAAACCTTTCGGCGCACCGTAAGGTGGATGTGATCCAATACCAGGCAGAAAGACGATGAACGGTTCCGGTGGCTTGTTGTTGATGAAATCCAGTGTTTTCACAACAGCATTGTAGTCACCAATGTCCGTGCTGTTGGGTTCCTCAATAGAGCCATTGAACTTGAAGGAGTAGTAGCCAGGTTCTCCAAACTTGAATGCATTCTGGCCAGCCGGTACGCCAATTGTACCATCCCAGTCAGAAACGGATAGGTTGAAAGCAGTCTGCAAGGCCGCAGTACGAACAGAAAACGACAAGAGATGAATTGACTCCATCGGCATCCAGCAGTGAAACCTGACTGAGGTGTCTGCTCGAGAGTGGAACGTATGATATCAAGGTACACTACTGCTGAATCCAGGTACCCTCCAAGACATTGCAAGTGCACGGTGCACAGACACTCTCTAGAAGGGTTACCATGGTGAGGTCACTGTTGTGAAACCACAAGTTCTGGAGAGTGAAAAGCCTTCTCGCTTGTGACATTGTCTTCGTTTCAATGCAGTTGTATCCCGACTCCGCCGTACCGCTGGTGTTTACAACGTAGTATACGCTACATGCGCTATGTGCGGTTTGCTGTGTGCGCTGTAGTTGTATGTTGTATGTGTATGCTTTCTCATATACGCTGTCATTTTCACGCTATAACTACCTGGTGGTTTTAGTGTTAGTTATTCATTCATTGTTCATCATTAGTTAGTCGATCGAAGTCAATATACTGTTGAGAATAAATAGTTGTCCTCGTGCCGTGTGGTCGTTCGTTCCTGACACTTCAGAGAACCAGAGGGTTCACAACAGTCACCATGGTAATGGTGAATGCTCCTGTGCAGTCAATCTAGTAATGCAATACTGTAAAAGCCATATATATAACGAAGTGCTAACGAGGAGAAATCTGTCGTTAAAATAGAAATCGTTATACAGAAATCGATACATATACTGTCCTATTGAGCGTTGAGAATGAGTGCAAATCGTTACCTTTGGTCCACGTAAACTAGTCAATTTTGGGAAATCGTTATATATGCGCCTCGTTAGAATAATGGCTTTTACAGTATTGAATTCACCATACATGTGGTTGCATACCATAGTAGCCAACCCTACCGGAATTTCCGGAAAAATCCAGGAAAACTAGTTCTCGACCGGTGTAGCGGAAAAGTTATAACATCTACTGAATTTTCGAAAAATGTCCGACTGCACCTCTATTTCGAACCTCATCAGTGTCAAGGAAACTGTTTGCCAGGGGTTGGCAAGTATGGCATGCACGGACACACACACACACACACACACACACACACAAACACACAGACACACACACACACACAGAGAAACGCAAACAGACACACGCAACACGTGGCCTTACCTGGGAGAACATGTCATTCTTGCCATGCCACAGCACATGGTAGCCACTGTCCTTTAGTAAGCGGAAATAATTGGGCTCGTAGTCCTGGACAAGGTGGTTCTGGGTGCGATGTCCAAGCACATGCATGTATCTACCCGTGATGATGGCACAGCGACTTGGTGCACACTGGGTGTGTAGGACGTGGGCCTGCTTGAACAGTGTGCCCTGCTGTGCCAGCGAGTCGAGGTTTGGTGTCCGCACGAACGGATGACCGTATGCCCCAATGCTCTCCGCTCGTGTTTCTACAGGTTGCACAGAGATAACACGCAATACACAGGCGTCCAGTGCTTGCAGACTACAACATCTCCGCACAGTTAGTTGTTTCAACTTCAATTGTTAGGTCTTCTCAGCTCAGCTCAGAGTAAGGGTGGCGAATCGATTGCAATGAAGTCCGGCGAACAACAAAGCATCTGTAACCTGGCCCATGGCAACTAAGTCAGAGAGAAGACTACATATTTCAAGTGATTATGGGAATGGCATTGACGTCTAGTAATAATTAATACGAGTGAAACACCTGTGTTTGGATTGGCATTCATTGCGCCAAACTCCTCAAGTAACGTGGCGTGTTCCATTGCGGTTTGCGACAGGAAGTGAGCTTGTACGTTTTATAAATAGATAATGTCCTGAAGGCTCAGTGAAGCTGGTTCGAAGTGTCAACAAATATCGCAGATAGAGGAGTATTACATGTATAGGCAGATCTTTTAAATTGCACCGGTCCATTAACGCAACTCACATCTGTTTCAGTTTGGACGGGACGGTCGAGACCTGTTCCTTTTGCCAACATACCATACTAGCTGACATCATGTGGCATCAGAAAATTATTTTTTCCCACCTTCCTACCGATGTAAATATACAGCCAGTTGTAACATAATATGGGTGCAGCTGACATATTGGCTATCGCACCAATTACTGTAAGACCGGAAATTTCGGTGGGGATTTATTTTCGGTAACTTCGGTACAGGTAATTTTACCTAATATAGAACACGACCTGAAATTCAACCATGCCATGTCACACAGTGTGCAAAATGCACATTTGGATCTGGAAAACTGGCTTAGCTTACCGAAACATTGATTTTGGGAAATACCGAAATTATTACACCACCGAAAATTCCCGGTTTTACAGTATACTGCAAGTTCCTTGAAGGGTGGTGATTAGGCCTTGACAGATTATGCTAATATTTTCGTGAAATTATGCTTTTCGCATTGCTGAAAAAATTGCAGAATTACTCAAGTATGCTATTTTTATGCTAAAAGTTATTATGCCGCATTATGCTCACATATGTGGGACAGTTGCTAATGTATAATGGTTCTGTGCACTAAAAATAACAGGGGATTTTTTTGTAATAGCAAAAGTTCAACGGGGTCAACCTGTCCCTGCGGGAATTTGCGGAAAAAATCCTCGAAAACTTGCGGAAGAAATTGCGGCAGAAAACAACAAAAAATGCGGCGAAAAGTGCGGAACTTGCCAGGAACTCGCGGAATTATTGGCAGAAAATTGCGGATTTGGGCCAAATCACGAAATTTGTTGTATCCTTAGAATCGCTATTTGCGTACTGTGGAAATAACCTACGAGCAGGATCATGGAAAGCACTGTATACTGCGTGAAAAGTGCAGAAAAATGTCAAAAGAAGTGCAGAAAACAACAAAAAACGCGGGAAATCGCGGATTTTTCAGAAAATCGCGGGTTTGGGCCAAAATCGCGAAATTTGTTGCGTCCGTGGAATCGCGATTTCCTGGAGGGACAGGTCAACGCACCGTCCGACATAGCTACGACCGTCACTGATTGTAGTGGACTGGACATGTTATCAAGGGAGTCGTAATTTACCGACTCGTAAACCTACGACTTCCTGATGCATCTACTTGTACTTGAACAACTGTATGGAATTTGATGCGAACAGGCGGATTATTCCAATTTTATGCGATTCGTATGCAATTTGCCTCGAATTATGCGATTATTCGATTTTGGTAGGAATTATGCAAAAATTTATGCTAGCATAATCTGTGGTGTTCGTATGGATGCGGAAAACTCGGCCTCTAGCCGAGTCTGGCGCGAACCATGACATTTGTAACTCAGATCTTTATGGCTTGAGAATGATTTTTGGGCCATTGTTGAACACTTCAACCAATTCTCATCCGATCGCCTTGGAGAATGGAGAGCCTCTGGGGAGGCACTAATATTCGGAGTGTGATTGCTGTAGAATTTTGTTCTGGAAATCACAGTCAGTGGCTGGCATGCTCTCAGGGACGTGATGATAAGTGCCCAGTATAGAAACGCATGTAGTCTAGATGTGAATGTACTACTGTCGTGGACATGGAAATCCAGTCGATTGACCGGGGACAGAGCCCTCAGCGCGTACAGAACGCTGCGTGCAGTGCACATGTTGATCGGATGCGATCAGCGCGCTGCACTCCTGCAGCGCATAAATGCATGTGCGTGCCGCTTATCCACGGCTGCATGGCCAGCGGCCTTGGGCCGCTAGACGTGCGACCAGATTTCCATGTCCACGACAGTACAATGCACAGTGCAGTGTCTTTGTGGACTCGGCTATTCCAGCCAGAAAGGAGCGGATACATGATACCAAGAGTCCATAACGATAACCCAAGGGGTTATCGTTATGGACTCTTGATGATACAGTAGTGTAGTATATCTGTAGTACATGTCAACATGATTGTACTTTTGAAGTACTGTACCAACGCATATGGCCGATTGGTTTGCAGGCCTGCCTGCGAATCATGAGGTCCCGAGTTCGAGACCCGCGCTGGTAGCATGGAGCGTGTAAAGACTTTTTACGTGAGTAAAGACTTTTTATGCGTGGTGAACTGCGCCGACACCCACGGTCAACTGGGTACTCACAGCTCGGAGTGAGGGTAACAAGGATGCAGTTTACAGGGTTATGGGCCGTTACACGCCCGATTGGTTGAGAGACTCACCTACTCTCCCCTGACTCACTTGTGAGGTCTGCATTTGCCACTACAGTCCATTCATAAAAAGATGGGTCCTGGCTCTGGCGAGCTCCCGTATTTGGCGATTTTTCGTGATTTCATCGTACAAAGTGCAGTGATGCGAACTTGAAATTTGAAAAAGGGTCCAAAAAGGGTGCCTGAACTGGGGTTCGAACCGCAGAATGCACTGTTGCAGGCGGGGTCAAACGGCCTGGATTTTGATGGGTTTTCCCAATTCAGTGCTTTTGGGGCAAAACCTGGCCGAAATCCTATTCTTGCTATGGCTTGCTTTTTGGACAAAAAAACTTCAGAAACATAATTGGAAGAGGATTCCATATGGGATTGCAGAAAAAAATTCTAAAAAAACTCAACGTTTGACCCATTTATGGCCAAAAGCTAGAAGTTCATTTTTTTCTGAATGGACTGTAAGGTGTGCAAGGCATAGGCATAGTGGTGGCCTGCGGAAGCGAAGGCTAGTTTGTGTGTTTCTGAACATTCAAGCGATGCCAACGCGAATCCCGCGAATTATTATATTAAGTACTGAAATCCAAATGTAATTGTTCCGATCCGCGCAATCTGAGAATTCACGCAATATCCAGATTGCGCACGCATTCTCAGATTGCGTGGAACATAAACAATGAACACTACAGTCATGTACAATCATGTGCAACTCCATTCAACCAGCTGGCCAGGCCAAAGCCAAGGCAAAGCCAAAGGTGCATTCCTAGATCCGTACCGTCAGGGAAGAATATGACGAAATTTGGACGAGTGTCGCCCGGTGCTCGACCATACCGCCTCTCACTGCCACTCGCTCTGTAGAGCGACCTTGGAGGTGGCGCATGATGTAGTACATGTACTTGCTCCAATGACTCTGCTGAGTGCGGCTGATCTGCGAAAGCTTCCCAACTGGAGAGGAGATTAGTGAGCAGCAACACGGCGAATACATAGGCACTCCCCGCCATTGTAAGCACAGCTGCTTCCTCGCTGAACACAGCTCCGAGCCTACTCAGACAGTCAGAGGATCCAAATGAACAACCAGCGAAGTTTCTTCCGAGACTCGTGAGTCGTGACTGCATCAAGCCCAACTGCGAATACTCATGATCTCTGACTCTGAGCTGTCAAGTAGTTGCATGTTGTATTCATGGTATTGGACGGGGTGACGCTGTGCACAGCTGAGGCGGTTGTAGATCTACTGCCTTGTACTTACTGACACCACTATTGCACTAACTCCTGGCCCGGAGATCTGACCGTGACAAGTAACAATCATTGAACATCGCCCAGATCTACCCATGCATGCAGTCCTGGGCGAAGCAAAACATTGTTTCGGATCGTGGTCAAGGTGACTCGATCGCAAGATCGGAAAACAGCTTCATCTCGCCCGTGCAGACTCAAATCGAGTGATGGATAGCCCGGGGCCACAGGCGAGGGCCACACTCCACAGCAGGGAGTTGTATTTTACTACTCCCTGCTCCACAGCTCTGCCTCTGAGTCTGACCCTCCCCTTGATTGATAGCCACATGTGCAAAATCAATGAGCGCCGGACTCACTGCCGATAGGGAATGATTATAGGCGCTTTGGCCCAGTTTGGGGCTAGGCTGAGCCGGGCAAGGTCCTGTCCAACATTGGCAACAACTGAATGCCCAAACTAAACTACAATGACTAATAGACTACATGTAGCTTCCTGACGTGCCTATTATAAAATGAGACTTGAACAGTTTTGATGTAGAATATTATTATTTTGATGCTGTCGTCTGCCAGTGAGCTCCGCGAGTCTCAGAAGAAACGTTGTTGCTGATCTACCAGACTAGTTCGGAAGGACTCTGGAGTGAACGAGTCGGTGCTGTACCACTGTGCGGTAACAGCTCTGCGGCTGATACTGAAAATGGCTGGCTATCTTTTCGCGGCGTTATTGGTCACTGCTCTTCTCACAAGTTATGAAGGAGCAGCAAATCACCCACACTCGACAGAGCAGAGCGAGGCTGTTCAACATCGCTCGCCCCCGCCAAGGTCGCTCTACAGAGCGAGTAACAGTGAGAGGCAGTCTCGTCGAGCACGAGGCGATACTCGTCCAAATTTCGTCATCTTCTTCCCTGACGGTAAGGAATCCACCTTTCGGCTTTGGCTCAGTTTAAAGGGGAAGTTGTTCGGTCACGGAATCTGGACTCCAAAGAAGACTGTATTTATTTCTGAAACTCGGATGTTGAGCCATAAATAAATGTAGAAGAGAAAAGGACATATGGATACGAGTTAAGAGTAACTCTCCATCACTGTAACATGATACTTTATACAGTCAGAAAGTGCAATAACTAGGCACAAAACTGACAGAGTACTGAAACATTCGACGTCCTGACACCTAGCTTCAACACATCTCCATAGCGCTAACCGACAGCCTTCCAACTTGGAAGGTTCAAGGTTATGGAAAGACCAAAGAGGGGAAGGCAAGCGCAACGAAAACGAGCAAAAGCTACAGTCCCAACGGAACAAAGAATGTCGATTGTTACTGGACGATGACGAGACCAGTACGATATTTGACAAAGCGGTCTAACTACAATTCGAAGCAGCAAAGCAGCGCACCACCCAACTTGGGTGGGTCATAAATATCAAAGATAAGTAAAGAAAGGGAAGCTTTGCGAAAACGAATTGTACAAGCCGAAAGCCAAACTCCTACAGTACTCCTCATGCATGACATTGTGATGGACTAGTTGACTACAAAACAAGTTGTTTCACACGACGTACGTTTCGCCGTATGGTTCGTGACGGCTCATCAGGTGTGCAATATGAAACTCGGATGTTGAGCCATAAATAAATGTAGAAGAGAAAAGGACATATGGATACGAGTTAAGAGTAACTCTCCATCACTGTAACATGATACTTTATACAGTCAGAAAGTGCAATAACTAGGCACAAAACTGACAGAGTACTGAAACATTCGACGTCCTGACACCTAGCTTCAACACATCTCCATAGCGCTAACCGACAGCCTTCCAACTTGGAAGGTTCAAGGTTATGGAAAGACCAAAGAGGGGAAGGCAAGCGCAACGAAAACGAGCAAAAGCTACAGTCCCAACGGAACAAAGAATGTCGATTGTTACTGGACGATGACGAGACCAGTACGATATTTGACAAAGCGGTCTAACTACAATTCGAAGCAGCAAAGCAGCGCACCACCCAACTTGGGTGGGTCATAAATATCAAAGATAAGTAAAGAAAGGGAAGCTTTGCGAAAACGAATTGTACAAGCCGAAAGCCAAACTCCTACAGTACTCCTCATGCATGACATTGTGATGGACTAGTTGACTACAAAACAAGTTGTTTCACACGACGTACGTTTCGCCGTATGGTTCGTGACGGCTCATCAGGTGTGCAATATGAAACTCGGATGTTGAGCCATAAAAAAAAAAACCCCTCTTTGGTCTTTCCATAACCTTGAACCTTCCAAGTTGGAAGGCTGTCGGTTAGCGCTATGGAGATGTGTTGAAGCTAGGTGTCAGGACGTCGAATGTTTCAGTACTCTGTCAGTTTTGTGCCTAGTTATTGCACTTTCTGACTGTATAAAGTATCATGTTACAGTGATGGAGAGTTACTCTTAACTCGTATCCATATGTCCTTTTCTCTTCTACATGTATTTATTTCTGTTCTTCGTAACTGAACGAAAACCTCTAGACTAATAGTATGCACACATCAGTGGCGGATCCAGGGGGGGGTTCCGGGGGTTCCATGGAACCCCCCAAATTTTGCAAAGTCATAGTTAGTGTGCTGCTGAGAAATATCGATAAATGGGCCTCAACCAGCGAAAACAGCCCTTAGGGTCGAATTTTTCAAAATTCCTTTTTGGTTAGAAATTTGTTGAAACACATCTACTGAAAGACCTCAGCCAAGAAAAAGTTCAATATTCCGATTCAAAACAAGTGTATACACCAATATACAAGGTGTACTCCAAATTGGTGCAATGTATGTATACGATGTATGTTTACAATAAATATTCAGCATTCTAAGATGGGTAGGCAGCTTGAATACCTTTGAAAGAGTGTAGTAAGCAGCTAGAATGACAAAGAATAGCTGAAGAGTGCGGAGACATGATCGACTTATTTGCAGCTGCATCCTGCGTGGAGTCGTTCCGCAATGACGGTCTTCCATTTCTTCCTCCGCAGCTGATAACACGACGTCGCTGCCGTCACTAGCCCCAGACTCACAATTTATCTCAGGTGATGACTCCTCATCTTCCGACTCTGACGAGTCATCGACCACCTTGAGCCGCAACGCAGCAGGAGATGACGGCTGCGATTCCGCCTCGCTGTCGACATCGATGTCGGAACCAAAGAATGTCTCATCCTCACTCTGACCTTCAGCGGCTACTTCAGCATCCACTCCCCACCAGGCTCGAGCTAACTGTACACAATGACTGCCGCGTGTGCTCTGCGAACAGCTCTGGCGTCCGCAGCCATCACAACAAGATCAAGGAACACTCAAGTCGCCACTCGACACCACTTCAACTAACAAACTTCAAATAAATTCAAGCAAGGAGTTCAAGAAGAACTCGCCGCACTGTTCGCAGCGCGATCAAAAAACCGTTGAACGTCACAAATCGACCTTTTTCATGAAAAAATTACGAAACCTCTAAGGGTCGTTTTCGCTGATTGCGGCTCAAATATCATGTGTGCACAAAAGGACATCCGTCCGATCACAGTCATAATCAGTGCAGTCACTGCATGCGCGTTCGGTAGATCGATACTGCATGTATACCGGTAGTCTAGTACAGACAGTGTACTACTCTGTACTGGTGTTCACGTCCGTGATTTACAAACGGACACTGTAGACAACATTGGGTGGTTGTTTCCTTTTTGATCTTTCGAAACGATCCAAACTTACCTCCATTGGCGCTGTCATTCACTGCTGCTCAGGATGGGTGCGGTCAGTATTCCTTGGACAAGTTTTTTTTGCAGAAGAGAAAGGATGTTCCGAGTGATGACACTCTTCAACGAACTTCGAATCCTACACGTAGAGTTCAAGCTCCTCAGAAGATGAGGGCTCCGACATCCAAGCAAAGTCAGTAATCTCTACCTGCTGCAGCATGCAGTAGTGACTAGTTGTTCCTCCGCAGGAACGGAGTGCTGCGCCAGCGATGTGTTTTAGATGACATTGGAACCGGGATTGTGCAATTGTCGACACTGTTTCGCTGTTGTTGTTTCTGTCACTGAAGCGAAGACGATGCTCTTGTCCTGTGAGTATAGAGCATTTCGCATCGTAAAAATGCCAAAAATTTCCGAAAGTACAAATGGACAGGGAAAGTAATTTAGTTGTCATTTCGGCATTCCTGGCTCTCAACGTACCCATGTATGTTATTATTATTATTATTATTATTATTATTATTATTATTATTAGTTCAACATCTCCTGGCTCGTCAGAAGACTGCCAATATATATGAGAAGTCGGGTGGTAGCCAACCACGGCGTATGTACTCAAGTATATTATGATTATGTGTCCGTACTAAATAATAATTATACAATGTAGCCTTTGTAGGGTAAGCAGCAGCATTTGGCCCTGTACAGGCTTTCCATCGTCCACCACACCACAACTGCGCGCTGCAGCGATGGTGGTGTGCTGTGGCAACGTTACGTGTCGAGGCGATGTGCGTGTCCTGAATGTTAGTTACCACTACGAGGCTGGAGGGTGCAGTTATGGTGTGGTCGATGATGGAAAAATATATGTCCGTAGTGCGTTTTAAAAGCATGCGATTGCCACTAACACAATCGGATTGTCGTTATTACATGTGTTAACCACACAACTTCAAAACAATCTGATTCCATAATATTTTGCCTGTTGAATTTTGGTTCAACCGGAACCCCCCTGTAGAGATCTCTGGATCCGCCCCTGCACATCATCGTGCCTTGGCACGGACATACCAAATCTGCTGTTGTCCTCTCTCCAGAACAAAACTCTCTCCCTACAATGTGAAACTGGTACTATAACAAAAGGCACAGCTGATAAAGCGAACAGACCTACAGCCAATCAGCAAACCAGTTCCGTAATATGATCCGGCAGGTATTGCATGCCATGCATGTACTAGATTAATGCTACGGTACAGACAATCGCATGTCTAGACAGGTCCTAACAGTGTCTAGTCAGTACTAGCATCATGCTCACATGTGCCGGGTCAGCACACAATACATCGACCTAGCAAACGGTAACCTACGGAATCTACTGGAACATATCCCCCTCTCACACGAGGAGAAAACCACACTAAAAAAACAAAAAACAATCCGAGTGTGACACAACTACGTAATCATGTCCATCACTGTTACTCATTTCCAACTGGCAAAGGAACGAGATGATGGATGGCACGTTGCAGGATCTTGCCTCCAATCTTGACGTCCACGACGCGCACCTTGTTGTCCTTTCCTGGGAAGGTCTCCATAATGCGACCCAATGGCCACTCTCCGCGCGGAGTGCCGGGACTCATCCACATCACCACGTCACCCACCTTCAAGCTCTTCTTGGCCTGGCGCCAGCACTTCCGGAGGTTCAAGGATGGTAGAAACTCTCTTTTCCATCGCTGCCACACTTCGTCTACTAATCGCTGTACTGCCGCCCATCTCTTCCGCTGATGCTGATGCTCACCAAGCACCGTCACTTCCTTGGCCAGTGGCGCATCCATACGTCCCACAAGGAAATGCTGGGGAGTGAGGGGCTGATCATCCTGAGCATCATCTGAGACTGTAGTCAACGGACGAGTGTTGATGAGATGCTCTGCTTCAATCAGTGCGTCAGCAACTCCTCGTCGGTAAGCGAAGCATTAGCGAGTACTGTGGTGAGGGCACGCTTAGCAGCTTTCACAACAATTTCGAATACTCCTCCGAAGTGGGGTGCTCACGGAGGATTGAACCGCCACTCTATTCCTTCATGAGCGAATTTCCTGCTGACTTGCGTGCGATCAATGGCTTCGCTCGCCTCTCGGAGCTCTCGCTCGGCAGCTGTAAAGTTCGTGCCGTTGTCCGACACCATGATGGACGGAGTGCCGCGACGCTTGATGAATCTGGAGAATGCCAGCAGGAATGCTTCTGTGTCCAAAGAGAAGGCCATCTCCAAGTGGCATGCTCTGGTCTCCAAACAGGTGAAAACGCACATGTACCGCTTCTGCTACCACGCCCTTGCTTTGTGTAGAACGGTCCTGCGTAATCTACTCCACATCTGGTAAATGGTTTGAGAGAACCACACGTGCGATGGTTGGGTAGCGGTCCCATGATCTGCTCCGCAGCCTTACTCATCAATCGGCTGCATGTAACGCATTGTGCACGTACACTTTTGATCGCTGATGTACCATGTACAATCCAGAATCTCTGTCGTAGGTTGGACAGCAGGTGCTGGGTTCCGACACCATGGCAACAGAGGTCGTCTTCGCGCTGGATGAGTAGCGTAGTGACTCGGTGACGCTGTGGTAGGATCACTGGCTGGCGAACACCAACAGGTAGGTTGACAGCATGCTTCAGTTGTCCGTTGACGACCATGAGAGCAGGGTGTAACATCGCATCCAGGACCGCGTTGAGCCGGTAGAGAGGGTCAGATGGTGGTAATTCCTCACCTGCCCGTAAGCGCTTAAGCGTGGCTGGGTACACTGACAGCTGAGCTTGTGCAAACCAATGTCGTTCGGCTCCTGCTACTTCTGCTGCCGTCAGCACCGGTACTGTCACTACTGATCTTGGCTTATGACCGCTTGCTAAACGGACATAGACTAGTGGGGCACTGGTGTTGGCGGTGTCGACGTGGGTTTCCCCCCTCGTGACTGTCGCAGTCTGCCGTCGGGCATTTTGTACGAACCGTAAGCACCAGGCAGTCACCCTGGTAAGACGCTCCCACGTCGAATACGTGGCAGGATCTAGTCGAGATGGCGTCACCTGGCTGGCGAATGTCATACATGGCTTCTTCTTCAGCTCACCAGGTAGTTGCGGAGGGGTAGCAAGCTCCACAAGCGGCCACTCTGCCTCCGGTCTGGTCAGGAAGTCCGGACGACACCACCATGTGTGACGTCCAACGAGGTCCAGCACTTTCATACCTCGAGATGGGAAGTCGGCTGGGTTGAGGACTCCTGGTACGTGTCTCCATTGGCTAGCTTTGGTGTCGGCTTGAATCTCACCGACCCGGCAGGCGACATCTGAAGTGAAGTTCTTGGCATGGCTCCTCACCCAGTACACGGCGTTGAGGGAATCGGTCCAGAACACATGTTCAGCAACAGGAATAGCGAGGGCTTGGCTGACAACTTTGCTGTTGCGCAGGCCAAGTACTGCACCTCGCAACTCCAACTTAGGGATGGTGACTTTCTTGATAGGGGTTGCCCGCGCCTTGGCGAATGCAAGGCTGACCTTCACAAAACCATCCGGATACGCTGCTTGGACATAACTTACAGCTGAAGTGGCGTGCGCCGAGGCATCGGTGAAGGTATGTACTGTGAGCTTCGCGGTGTCAGCCTGGCGCTCCATGCTTTTGAAGCATCGTGGCACTTTGATCCCAGCTAGATCTGGTAGTTCTGCAAACCACCTCTGCCACTTGGTCTCCAGCTCTGATGGGAGACGGTCATCCCAGGAACAGCCGAGAATGCATGCCTCCTGGAACAGCAGTCGAGCCCTTATCGTAAACGGCGAAATATGCCCTCTTGGGTCATAGATGCTGGCCATCTTGGATAGGACGCTTCATTTCGTCAGCCGCTGGTCATCCGGTGTGTTGTAGCGATAGCTGAACGTGTCAGACGCTGCGTCCCACACGACACCAAGCGTCTTCACGACTGCAGCTGATGCGGCGTCGCTGCAATCATCGATGCTCACCAGAGCGTCGGCTGCTCGGTCGGCCTCCGGGATAGAACGGAGCACGTCACGGCTCTTACTGCGCCATTTCCGCAGGTGAAACGAGCCCATGTGGAGCAGGTCCTGCACCCCCTGCCGTACTGAGATGCCGGCTGGTACTGATGGTTGTGAGTTCAGGAAATCGTCAACGTAGAACGATTCCTCGACCGCTGCTCGGGCTGCTGAGTCGTACTGTTCCCCATGCTGTGCGGCTACCTCCCTCAGAGCTCGGCAGGTGATGAACGGTGATGCCTTCAGTCCAAACACGGGCCGAGTAAACTCGTAAATGGATGGTTCCTCGTCTATCGACTTGCGCCACAAGAAGCGTACGTACCGCCGATCTTGCTGTTGTAGCTGGACCTGCAGGAACATCTCTGCAATGTCTCCTACGATCGCAACCGGCTCACGGCAGAACCTGAGTAGGACGTGAATCAGGTCATGTTGCAGTTTCGGACCAGTGTACATCTCATCATTGAGAGACACACCCCGCTGACGAGCCGCTGCATCGATGACAACCCTCACTTTCGTGGTCGCCTTGTCGTGGCGCACGACAGGGAAGTGCGGTAGTAGCCATTGGTCACCGTCTCTGGCGGCACTATCCTCACAGCGGACCACATATCCCTTGTCGATGTATGATTGGAAGACTCTGTCGTACTCTGCTTGGATGTCCGGCTTCTTGAGAAGAGATCGCTCGAGGCTGATTGTGTTCCGGCAGGTATTGCATGCCATGCATGTACTAGATTAATGCTACGGTACAGACAATCGCATGTCTAGACAGGTCCTAACAGTGTCTAGTCAGTACAGTGGTCCCTCTATAATCCGGCACCATTTGTGCCACGAAAATCTGCTGGATTAGGGAGGGTGCTGGATTAACAAATCTGATTTACTGCTGCAATGTGCATGAAGAGGACATTTTGGCTACTGAAAATTGTGCTGGTTTATCGAGGGTGCTGGATTATAAAGTGCCGGATTAGAGAGGGACGACTGTACTAGCATCATGCTCACATGTGCCGGGTCAGCACACAATACATCGACCTAGCAAACGGTAACCTACGGAATCTATTGGAACAGAAGTTAAAGGGGAAGTTAAGGCAAAAATTAAAATTTCACCAGTTGTAGTCTTCGGGGTGCTGAGTCGAATGGTCTTGGTCCGAGAAAGCTGAGACGCTCCCTTCCTACTTGAATCCCAATCGAACTCGCGCACTTCCACCGAAACTGGGTGACTGCGCATGCGCCCTACTAGATGGGGATTTGTATGCAAAATGTCACTAAAAGCGCCATTTCGTTCTTATAAAAGCACGGATGACCGCGATTGGCCCATATGTTGTAGTCTTTTGGACGCTGAGTCGACTGGTTTTGGTCCGAAAAGGCTGCGATGCAGCGTTCCTCCTTTATTCCCAATCGAACATGGTTGAAGAAGCGGTGATTGTCCGTATTCCTGGAGGCAAGGCCGGCCAGGTCATTGAGCAGCCCATCAATTCCTTTGACATGATGGAGACCATTGCGGATATGGCCAACGTCAATGTGTCTCACATACGCTTTGCCAAGAGCTTCTTGGCTCAACTTCACGGATCACCAGGAGATTCCAACAGAACAGTGTACAGCGAAGGTGGATTCCTGTACCATCGTGAGATTGAGCCATTTGATCCTTTCCAAGCGGATACTTATAAAGACCCGCATAATCTGTAAGAGATGCTATCTTAATGGAATAGAGCAATATCCCATGTCTGGTGTATGAAAATCTCTTGGCTACATCTCTGCTTAGAATATTTTTGTAAAAGTGTTCATTTTTCTGTATCTCGGAAGGAGCTTTTCGCACTTGGCCACGCCTGGCAAGTCCATGATTCTATACTATAGTTGCTCTCAAACACCACCCATTAGTTGCTGAAACATTTGGAAGTGTTCAAAATTTCCTCCTCAGTGTTCAACCATGCGAAAAAGAGCTCTCGGAACAAAAAAATCATATCCTACTTAAGCCAAACTGACGAGTGTGTTTTGAGAAAGGGAAACATATTTCTGGCGTAGCGTATATATAAATGTAGCAAGAGCGTCAAAAAGAATTTGAAATCTCCTATGGCGTCCTTGTAAGATGAGCTAGCCCAACTAACCTCCTGGTGCCTTGCAATCATGCACCCGCAATGGCACTCTCAAAGAGGAATGGCTTAGTGAAGAAGGGGTAAGGTTTTCTAAACGAGTATTTATATGCGCGGCTGCCGTGCCAAACAATGTCGGTTTCGCTGCCAGGCTGCCCGTCCTACTTGCTCTTGGGGCACTGCCACAGTGTCGATTCATGCACCGTCGTATATTTAACTGGGTCGCATTTCACGGTCAGCAGGTCATTGACTGTGGATCTTGTAGAACTTCCAGATCCGCGGTTCGAAACGCCTATCGTTTTGGTTATAGGTACGCAGTTCTCGTGTTTTTTCCCCTCGACGCTATGGCATTGTTGTGTCCTCATTGCTGTGCAGCTACTACCCACGTGGAAAGGAGGAGGTGGAGGAGGGAATTCCCCGTGCAGTGATGGCCAAGAACATGAACTATAAGTTGGTGTTCAGAGCTGACGGAGTGTCCGAGTTCTACGATCTCAAGGAGGACCCACGGGAGCTAACGAACATGTACGACAATGTGAAATACAAAGAGGTGAGTGTATGGATTGGTGTCGTTGTGAATTTAGAAGTATTATGATCAATCTTCTGTCTAACTGTTATGGGGCCTCGGCATGTGGACTGGTCAGAATATGGCCGCACCAGTGCATGCAAGTATTATGCATGCCTCTGACGGTTATGGTGGATAATGTGGCAGTCAGGTTTTACGTTTGTTTGCACTACAGTACTGAAATTCATGAATTCATGTTCAGAGTATAAGATACAATGGGGAGTTTTCTGCAAAATTCCGAAATATCGTATTTTCCGGTGAAAACGCGTAATAAACTTAAAATTCGCCCTGCAGCCTATTTTGTTAATGTGAATCGACCTGCACTCCATGCGTATGATGGTTTGCGTGTAGCGTTCACCCTGGAACTATGCTACTCATCATTATGTTATCGGATGTAATTATTTTGTACAATCCGGATGCATCAGTACTGCGTGCTTTTTCGACTCTGTTTGCCTGCAGGTTCGCGATAAAATGCTCATGGATCTTCTGGACTGGTTTGTGAAAACGGGCGATGTCACACCTCTCGCGGAAGACCCTCGAGGTGCTCCAAAACCACCCCACTGAAACGGAGCAAAACAAATGTCCAATGGAGAACAGCTTAGTAACTTATTCTAGCGATAAGGGCTACTTAGCTATAAACCTTGCATATAGCTGCGACAAGAGGCGACTGCTTGGATGTCTTCTTAGTCTAGGAACATGCTGTGCAGCTCAGAGCCTGGGGTGGAATGCGGAAGATGGAGGTGTTTTCAATATGATTACATGTCCAAATGTTTCTATTCTGAAATCCAGTTTTACATTACATTGCGTAATTCATATTTTCGCTTTTCTTTGCATAAAAGTCGGCGTGGAGACAAGAAACCTAATATCGATGAAAGTAAAGTGAGTGCACTCATACCACTAGAACAATGGAACGATATTACATTTTGTATTATTAGGGTTTTTGTAGTCCAACACTCAGTTTGATGATGATTTCTGATGATAATCACCTGAAGACGAAGTTCAAATCCTAAAATATTGTTCCATTGTTCCCGTGGTATGAGTGCGCTCGCTCACTTTACTTTCATCAATAATTCTTTGCATAGTGAGTAAATATCAGGATGGCAGGAGGGTGTATGCCGTAACCTTTAGGCTGTCCTGTCAGACAGTATTTATATCAAAAGTTGAAAACCGATTTTATTTTCAGACATAACTAGTTTAATAGTAGCATAAATACTCTTAGCCACCTGGATATCTACCACTGTTGGGGCTGTCATTGGTGATAATGCTCACATTACTCTCAATGATCATGTATCTGTATGTTGCTGGCTATGTGTAGGGCGAGCTGCGTGTACAGTCAACTTCGCGTATAACGACACTCGGCGGGGCATCAGAAAAGTGTCCTTATTCGCGAAGTGTCGTTATACCCGAAGTCCCATTATGTATTACAGTTGGATGGGACTTTGCTCTGGGCATGGAAATTCTGTCGTTATCCGCGAATTGTCGTTATATCCACAGTCGTTATTAGCGAAGTTGACTGTATTATGGTGACTGGTACCCCCCCCCCCCCCCCCCCCTAAAGGCGCCGCCACTGGCTGAACATGCATGATGAATACACGGTACTTAATCAGGGATAAATTTACTGTCAGGTTTTTGCGTAGCAGGTTTTGCTATGCAAAATCTCAATTGTGGCGTAAGCTACAAAAAGCATGGCTAGCCTGAATGTGTATGTATGGCAGTTTTCTGCGTGTCACTGTGATTTTTGAGTAGCAGTAGATCAATTTTGCGTAGCAAACTGCGATGCGATACCGGATAAATTCATCCCTGCTTAATACACCATGCACTAGATTAATACACTATGCACTAGATCAATACACTATGCACTAGGTCAATACAGAGCACATGATCGTGATGTACAGCACACTACTGCAGTATTCTAACATACTATTGTTTGAGTCACGGTGTGCATGGCTGCTCGTCATGCCACATTCGTCTCCATTCATCATAGTCCTTTGCACCCGTCACGGGTAGACACGTGCGTGCCCAAGCGGCGTCTAGCAGAGCTCGTGTTCTATCATTGAGCAAGTGTCGCTTACCGCCTGACGTTGCCACCTTGCTACACTGCATGCCAGCCGAGGGGGAAAGACCCATGGCTATGTTTCTCGCAGCTTTCAATACATTGTCATTGAACTGCTCACGATGCTCAGACATGTAGTCAAATGTAGATCTCTTCACAGCGGTTTCCACTGCACTGGTGTCGTCAACTCCAATAAACTCTGCAACGCGCTTCACCTCCCGCTCCAGATCCTCTTTCATGTCCTCGTAGAACACAAACAAGACATCCTTGTCATGTCGTCGAGGCCACCAGCCCATGTAGTGTTCACATGCCGGAGCCCACTGTGAGTATCCCTGCGTCAGTTGCAGATGTACGGAGCCTCCGAGGGAAACCTGCTGGACGTAAAGATTCATCTCGATATCCTCTGCCCGAAACATCCAGTCTGCATGGTACCTGTACTGTGACACAACTACGTCATACGGGTGTCGTACTACTGTGATATATTTTCCGCCCTTGGGACAAGACGCCTCTGTGAAATGGGTTTTGTACAGCCTTGGCTCAGCTCTCTGTTTGTCATCACAATTCTGTCCCAAATCCCCCGCACATTCCAGGAAAGGCACCACCTCGGTGATCTCAGTGAAGTCCATATCACCACCGGTGCGTAGCTGATGGCATATTTGTGTCATCCACGTTGTGCCTGCCTTTCGTGAAGTCGTGATGATAACATCGCTTGGCTCAGGTTGAAATTTGAGAGCTGCCTGCTTTGATTCTTCGGTAGATGCCTTCCATCGCACGATTTGATACTCGCGGCAAGCTGCGATCGCTTCTGGAGTGAGTGGCTCTTCCTGCAGTGCTACGTCCGAGTCCATTGCAGGCTCCTTTGGTGCGTCCCGGCCTACATCACAGTAAATTAATTTAAACCGACCGAGCGCAACTATCTGCTAGGTCCTAGAGTACAGGGACGTTCGGAGCAAGATCGAAGACCAGCATGCCGTACAGTAAAATTAGTTTGCAAAAATAATAATCTTTCTTTATCCATGATCCACTGACAATGTTGTTCAGGACAACGAAACGTCTGGAGAAGTATCGTAAATATTTCTATCTTTATTAGTCAAGTGATGGGTTTCACTGTCCGAATTGCGAAGAGTGCTCAGGCAGAGCCTTGTACACAAGAGAGAGAGAGATTGGAAGCTTTGTTACAACTCTGAGTTTCACTTATTACTACGTTGCCTGATGTCTGATGATCGTAGTATGTGAAACTCAGAGTTGTATTATAAACAAAGCTTCCAATCTCTCTCTTGTTTCTTGTTTTACCACTCTTTTGTCTATGAAAGAATACTTTTTTGATATAAAGATAATAATAATAATAATAGTAATATAAAATTAATGATCTCATATCGACCAGTATGACTATGACTCTGGTAACCGGTCTGTACTACAAGTACAGTCAGTCGTCCCTCTCTAATCCGGCACCTTTTGCAACGTCATTTTCTGCTGGATAAACAAGGCCGGGCAAGGGTGCTGGATTATCAAATCCTGCCCTCCAACCCGGCGCATCTATTAACATACATGTTTGTGTCGTACGTCAAAACGTAGGGATTTTCTGTGTCAATCCAAGTACTCAATGCATGTCTATAACATACACTCGGGAATATCCTATGCACTGGCGTAGGATATTCCCAAGTGTATGTAACATGTATTGTGTATGTTACAATGCTCCCTGACGGTGTGCGATGTACAACTGCTGGATTAGAAAATCAAATTATATACAGTTTGAGTGATTTGTTGCAGAAAATCACTGCTGGAGGCGGAATTCAAGTGCCGGATTAAAGCGTAGAAAATGAACTGAAAAAATCCGTTTTGCCAGAAAGTGTGCTGGTTTGCAAGGGTGCTGGATAAACAAGTGCCGGATTAGAGAGGGACGACTGTACTACTGTCGCAGACATGGAAATCCAGTCGCTAGTCCATTGACCGGGGCCGGCGCCCTCAGCGCGTAAGGAACGTAAGTCGTTGCATGCTGTGCACAATCATGTTGATAGTGTTAACCACCATAATACTTCTCCCGCCCCGGGCCCCCTTCCTTCCTTTATTGAACGATATCAGTTACATCTGTGCACACCTTTCGACCGCGGGCATATAATTATTATACAGTGTACTTACCTTCAAGACCACAATTTCCACCATACACAACTTCCGACAAGTGTCACTAGTCCACGGACCATGACGACCGAGGACGTGAGAGACACATCTTCAACATGACACCGCTCTAAACTCCACACTGGATAGTGCATCCGTTCCAGCCACTGTGATTGCTAATTATTTTACAGTGAAACTGTCTAAGACGAGACCGCTCAAGGGACCTTCAAAAAGTGGTCTCTGTTACCAGGTGGTCTCCTTATCCAGGGTCATTTGACTGTAAATAGCATCACTTAGTTCTGGTTTCAGTGGTCTTCTAGGACAGGTGGTCGCCTTGACAGGTTTTACTGTATATACATCACATAAAAGAGTAGACCCATAGACCCATAGACCCATACCCGGATATGGGCGGGAATAATGTAAACTGACCACATCAAAATACACTCAAGAAAAGAACGAGCCTCAGGCTACTCACAGTCAACATCTTCAGGCCTCAAAGCTCTTCCACTAGTTTTTTCATTGCCTTCTCATGTGGAATACGAAAATGTCAAAGTGATCTGGCCCTAAATACCAAACCAGCTCGCATGCTCAACCAACCAAGTTCACGACAGAGAGTAGTTTACTGAAACAATCATAGAGACAGAAACTGCGAGAATAACCAGACTGAAAGAACGAACAGGAGCATGAGGAACGCAATCCCCCTTCTGGGTGCGTCCAATGCAACAACAGGGGCGTCGGAAGGTATTCTACATTGGTGCGGCCATGAATGGGTGGATGGTCCAGGGGGCCTCCCCTGGGGAAAGTTTTAGGGAAATTGGGTCCAAATAGCCCATATTCCATTGCTTCAAAAATTCCAAGATGAAAATAGTGGTGCGGCTTTGGCTGCACTTGCCGCACCGGTTCCGACGCCCCTGAACAACACAACCGAAAGCCGGAGTTCCAACGGACATGGGGAGCTGCACTGGCAGCTGCGCAGAGCTCACACAGGCGCAATACAGATGGGTTCAAAGTCTGGCATATGCACTTGAGCTGAAATGTCACTGCCATTTGCGATCAGAACACATTGCGACTAAAAGGCGCCGCCACTGGCTGAACAGTCATGATGAATACACGGTACTTAATACACCATGCACTAGATCAATACAGAGCACATGATCGTGATGTACAGCACACCACTGCAGTATTCTAACATACTATTGTTTGAGTCACGATGCGGATGCCTGCTCGTCATGCCACATTCGTCTCCATTCATCATAGTCCCTTGCACCCGTCACGGGTAGACATGTGCGTGCCCAAGCGGCGTCTAGCAGAGCTTGTGTTCTATCATTGAGCAAGTGTCGCTTACCGCCTGACGTTGCCACCTTGCCAGACTGCATGCCAGCCGAGGGGGAAAGACCCATGGCTGTATTTCTCGCAGCTTTCAATACATTGTCATTGAACTGCTCGCGATGCTCGTACATGTAGTCAAATGTAGATCTCTTCACAGCGGTTTCCACCGCACTGGCGTCGTCAACTCCAATAAACTCTGCAACGCGCTTCACCTCCCGCTCCAGATCCTCTTTCATGTCCTCGTAGAACACAAACAAGACATCCTTGTCATGTCGTCGAGGCCACCAGCCCCATGTAGTGTTCAAATGCCGTAGCCCTCTGTGAGTATCCCTGCGTCAGTTGCAGAGGCACAGAGCCTCCGAGGGAAACCTGCTGGACGTAAAGATTCGTCTCGATGTCCTCTGCCCGAAACATCCAGGCTGCATGGAACCTGCACTGTGAAACAACTACGTCATACGGGTGACGCACGACAGTGATGTACTTTCCGCCCTTGGGACACGACGCCTCTGTGAAATGGGTTTTGTACAGCCTTGGCTCAGCTCGCTGTTTGTCATCACAATTCTGTCCCAAATCCGCAGCACATTCCAGGAAAGGTACCACCTCGGTAATCTCTCTGAAATCCATATCGCCACCGGTGCGTAGCTGATGGCAAATTTGCGTCATCCACGTTGTCCCTGACTTGGGCGTTGTCGTAATGAATACATCTCTTGGTCCAGGTTGAAACGAGAGGCCTGCTTGCCTTGCCTCTTGGCTTGCTAGCTTAGACCTTGCAACTTGAAACTCGTGAAGTGCTGCAGCCGTGTCAGGGCTCAGGCGTTCCTTCTGAACGGTACCGTTCATGGTGTGATCTGTAGATCTACACCAGCTTTATCAAGCCTTGATGTGCTCTTGTGCAGAAACCTACGAATGGAGACTGAGCCGCTCGAGAGATCCTCTGAAAGCCAGGCGAAATCAAAGCAAAATATAGACCTATACTACAATTGAAGAGCTTGAGAACAAAACATGGTATATCCATTTTGGCACTTTTCGGGTAAAGTCAAAATTCTGTTCTGACATTGTCTTACATCCCATCCCAATGGAAATTTGGATTTAGTACCAGAAGGAATACTGGACCCCAAACACCATGTCATCAAAAATCCACACCTCTCAGATTTTGATATTTTTTGAATTTTTCACCTTCTTTTTGGCAAAACGCAGTATATCCGGGTGAGAATATAGGCACAAGACGCCCTCTCCCAGCAGGAGACAAAACAACTGGCTCACTCATACCATCTAATGTCACCTCCGCCACGCTGATTAAGACAAGAGCTTTGACAGCGTCAGGAAGAAGAGAAAGCTAATTTGACAGCCATAAGTCGAGTCAAGCGCTCGTTCAAAAAAATAATTCGAACTAGTTTGAAAAAATGACAAAAAGCAGTGTTCTGCGCGTTCTGAACACCACGCGCGCTGCCCACGACTGTATAACTATGACAACTGGCGTATACTGCGTTTTGAAAAAAAATCCTAGCCGGATATACAGCGTTTTGCTCTGAAAGCAACTGTTTGAATGGGGTTTTCTGTAGGATGTACTGCGTTTTCGCCAAAAATGACCTCGCCATCAAATTCAGCTCGATGTGATCTTTCAGTTGGGTCAAAAATCTCGATTTTGAAGATTTGGCGCATACAGCGTTTTGTTCTCAAGCTCTTCAATTGTACTTGCTGTGATCGTTAGCGGTACGTGTTGATCCAGGTGAAGTAATTTTGTTTTCTGCCCCGCGATCCGTTATATTGGCTCCTGCATGGCCAGATGAAGGGAGTCCTGTGCGACACGTACTCTCTATAGATCGAACCGAATCAGTACTCTCTTCCTTGAATGGAATATTTCGTCTTTCATAGAGATTTAGAGGTATTGCGAACTATTACTGAACGTTGCCTAGTGGACGTGGCCGGCCCGTAGCTAGCTGATCTACTCGGCAACCAGGTGACGCGCTGGGAGTACATTGTATCCCTTGATCCTGCTGCTTTCTCCTTCCATGGTTCTGTAGTTTGTTGATACAGTGTGTATAGTGCATTTTATTTTTTATAACGACTTGCGTGTTGGCACGTGATGTGCCATTGTATGTGCATGTGATGGGCATTGTAATGTATGTGATCAGATGTGCATGGCACGTGCATGATGACTGTACACTAATATTAGTAATAAAGACTTAGTATTCCCAACTCATCACAACCACGCGCTCTTCAGCCGAACCATACAGACACCAGCAAGGACACTTCCGTTGAGAGATAATAATTATTGCTCCACGCCTCTAGACAGCTGTTTCGCTCCCTGTCGGAGCTCATCAGTAGAGGATGATAATGATGATAATGGAGGAATGATCATTCTTATACACAAGAAATGGCGCAAGTGCGCGCTTTCCACATATATCAATGGCATATGCAAGCTGCTAAAATGGTAAAGTGTGAGAACAGCGATAAATAATCATAGTACGCGCTCATTGGTGGAGAAACACACCACACAGGCGACGAAAATCTTACGCGGAATACTGATGCCAAAGGAAAGTACATGTATGTTGTTTATTATTATGATGTTGCAATGTCCATGTATGCAGGCCAGGCGAGACTCACCGCCGAGATCCCCCAACGCGACAGGCTCGGTTGCCGTTCAGGATTCACACCGACCTGTCCGCCCGTCAACAGGATCGACAGCGGGAGGCCCCACTGATGCCGATGTCGATGCACACCAGGAAACTTGTAGTCGTGAGTGTGATACTAACACGTCCATCGGCAACCACTGACAAACGAGAGGCCAGCTGGGGCATTCACTCCAGTCAGGGATGCTTGGTCGACGCTTCTTTATCAGCAGCTCAGCTCATTTTGATCAAACAAAGATGTTGCAGATGTGTCTTGCTTTTCTCCTTCCTTCTTCACCGACTCGTCTTGTCATCTCTCCTTCTTTCTTCACTGAGTAAATAATAATATTTTATTAACTGGTTTTGATATTTTAATTTAAAATTAAAATTTTTATTTTTCTAAAACTATTGAGTACAATCATGTACATGTACTAGTATTGCAGTAAAGTAAGTAATTAGTTGAAGTCGAGAGTCGTCAAGACCTGGAATGACAATGTCATGTACGAGCGTAGTCTCTGCATATCTGGCCCACTGCATTGGCAGTATCACTGAGCCTCGTGTCTCGTGTACTCAGAAGAAGGTTCAACACCCATCCTCTGCGGTCTCTGGGCTTCTAAATGCAGTAGGTATCGGTCAAGGCTTGTGTTCGGACGTTTCGGAATATTTTGGCGGAGACCATCAACGAAGTCCTTCCAGACGTCTACGTGGAGCTGGAGTCATTTACCATGGTTACCGTGACCGTTTGACTGCGACTTTGCGAGGCTCTGCCCTACCGCACTGCTAATCGCTCCCCGGATATGTAGGAGGCTCGCCTGGACATTCGGGGCCTTTTATTTCGGGCGCAGAGTTTCTGGACGCGGCAGCAGGATGGCTCGTTTGATGTCAGTGTTACCATGGTTACCCAGGCCAGCCGAAGACAACCGGTGCTGTCGCCTACAGTCCATTCAGAAAAAAATGAACTTCTAGCTTTTGGCCATAAATGGGTCAAACGTTGAGTTTTTTTAGAATTTTTTTCTGCAATCCCATATGGAATCCTCTTCCAATTATGTTTCTGAAGTTTTTTTGTCCAAAAAGCAAGCCATAGCAAGAATAGGATTTCGGCCAGGTTTTGCCCCAAAAGCACTGAATTGGGAAAAACCATCAAAATCCAGGCCGTTTGACCCCGCCTGCAACAGTGCATTCTGCGGTTCGAACCCCAGTTCAGGCACCCTTTTTGGACCCTTTTTCAAATTTCAAAGTTCGCAGCACTGCACTGTGTACGATGAAATCACGAAAAATCGCCAAATACGGGAGCTCGCCAGAGCCAGGACCCATTTTTTTATGAATGGACTGTAGTACAGACGTCCTGTACCAACTCAAGACTCACGAACACGCCGGAGAGGGGGCAGTAAAACTCCCCAGATCCGGGCAGGTTGGGAGCGAGCACTGCCCGTAACTAGGAATTGCCCGTAACTCAGAACATACATGTACATGTACAGTACATGTACTTACTGCATGCAAGAAAGCATTTTTTATTTTAATCAATATGACTGTTGGGTTGTTTTTCGTTGAAAAGCCATTTTTGTGACTCTGGGTGAATCAGAAAGGTGCCCAGTAAACGGAAATGCCCGGATTAGGGACGTCCGGATCTGGGGACTCACCAGCAGGGAGTTTCACTGCACTCATTAGGATACTCCCACGCAAACACTCAAAATACGGTCTCTTTGCTGCAACGTTCGGTGAAAAGTTGATCACATACATGCACATGTACATGTACATGTATGCAGCAAAGACTGGGCCGTAATTTGAGTGTTTGCGTGGAGGTATCCTAAATGAGTAGAAGTATTGAGAGGTGATCTTTACGCCATTGATGTTTTCAACATCATGGTATGTGCGGCCCTGAGGTATTCTTTTTCCAGAGTGTGGTTGCTCTCATATCAGATAAAATTACAAGAGCTCTATCGTTGCACATCAGGGTATCAATTTCTATGTAAAATTCATGATCGCAATATTTTGAAGTACAAAATCAGGAAGTGAACTGTTTGAAAATTGAAATAAATGCCAGACCCTGTGTGTGTCATGTACATGTACAGTTTGTACATGTAACCAGGAGCAACAACCCGCCGATCCAAGAGCATTCCTTGAGTGCGAGGATCTGCCCCTGCTGGAGGATGTTCATATCACTGGTGCAATAATTGAACAGGTGGCCCGTCGACTCTTCGGCAGTGCCGGTCCCAGTGGGACCAACTCTGAGCAGTGGAGAACGTTCTTGCTATCCCATGGCAACGTCAGCAGTCGCCTGCGGGAAGCTGTGGCCGCCTCAACCCGTCGACATGCAAATGGAATCGTGCCCTGGTGCAACATGCGAGCATTCCTTGCTTGGAGAGGCATTGCACTGGACAAGCTACCAGGAGTGCGGCCAATCGGAGTGGGCGAATGCAGGCAGCGCATTGAGGCAAAGGCCATGGCCCTTGCTACGGGAATTGATGTCCAGGAGGTCTGTGGGGCTGACCAGCTATGCTCGGGTGCAAAAGCTGGGATTGAGGCAGCTGTTCATGCTATGAGCGACGTTTTCACCGAGGATGACACCGAAGGACTCCTTCTTGTCGATGCAGCTAATGCATTTAACTCGCTAAGCCGTCCCGCGGCCCTATGGAACTGCCGGGTGCTCTGGCCGAGATGCGCAAGGTTTCTATTCAACGCCTACCGTGGGTACGCTGTGATCATCTTGAAAGGTTCCTGTACATCTGAGGTCCATACCCTTCTCAGCCGGGAAGGTACTACTCAGGGATGTCCCCTGGCTATGCTAATGTATGCCATTAGTCTGCACCCTCTGATTGCGAGTTTGAAGGAACCCAGCCAGCACACCCAAAACTGGTACGCTGATGATTCTTCTTGTGCGGGACGGTTGCGCAACATCAGGAAGTGGCTCGACCGCCTTATCGATCAGGGTGAAGCTTTCGGCTACCAAGTTAAGCCGACAAAGAGTATCATTATTGTTTCCCCGGATCTCGTTCAGCAAGCTAATGATATCTTTGGGGATCTGAACATCCAAGTAGCCACATCCGCCCGTTTCCTAGGAGGCTGTATCGGTGAACCTGACGGAGTGAAATCGTTTGTCAAGGAGAGAGTGGAGACGTGGGTGAGCAGTGTCAATTGCCTTGCCGCTGCTGACAGGAAATACCCCCAGTCGGCGTATTGTGCGTTGAATCGCTCGCTCTCCTGTGAGTGGTCATACCTGCAGCGTGTTGTCCAGGGTCTTGAGGAGGAGTTTGCTCCGCTTCGAGACGTCATCCTGGAGCAATTTGCCCCAGCAATCCTTGGGCGGGAGGTTCTTCCTCGAGAACACCAGCTCCTCACCCTGCCAGTCAAGTATGGTGGCTTGGCTTTGGCCGATCCTGTCCACACAGCACCCCAGGCTTACCAGAATTCGAGAAACGCAACTGACATCCTGCGCAACTCCATCCAATCTGGTAACCCCGTAAACGTAAACGATCACAGCGCTCACTGTCGCCGCATCACAAGTCAAATCAGCAGGGAACGAGATGTGATTTCCGCTGAAATCAGCCAATCAATTCTCAGTGACCTGCCACAGCTTGAGGAGCGCACCCTCTCCCGCATCGTACGGGGAAATGCCTCCGGATGGCTTACGGTGTTGCCCCTGAAGCGCGAGGGGTATGATCTGTCGAGTACAGAATTCCGCGATCAACTTGCCATCCGCTATGGTCGGCAGCCGCTTGCCCTGCCAGCGCAATGTGATGGCTGCGGGAAGCCCTTCTCTCTCCAGCATGGCCTTGACTGCCCGAAAGGTGGACTTATCAAGCCAGGCCACAATGATCTGCGTGATAGCGATGCAAAGCTAGCTGATATGGCATTCGGTGGTGTTGTCGTCGAGCCGATCATGGTGCCGGAGGGTGATCGGACGGGGCAGCCTGCTCTTCGGGCAGATTGGCTTGCCCGGGGTGTGTGGGAGGATAACAGGGTGGCGTTTTTTGATAATCGCATCATTGATGCCAACGCACCCAGTTACTCCCATTCATCCTGGGAAGCTACTTCCAACCGCGCTGCTAACGCGAAGAAAAAGAAGTATCGTCAGGCCTCCGAGGACCTCCGTGGGTCGTTCACACCACTGGTTTGTTCCACGGATGGGGTGCTACATCGCGAATACGCCAGCTATCAGAAGCGACTTGCTGGTCGCCTCGCCCTCAGGTGGGACAAGCCATTTTCAATCATCATGGCTTGGGTGCGAGTTCGCAGCCAATTTGCAGTGATCCATGCAGTCGACCTCCAGCTACGCGGGTCTAGAAGGCGCCTGACAGGCCTGTCGACGCAGGATGGTGCTGGGGTAGGCATCGGCCATTGAAAACTGAATCCCGTCTGTTTCACGTGGAATTTCTTGGAGTTTCCCAATGTATTGTACTTGAATAAAATTCTATTTTACCTTTCATGGTATCTCAATTTTTTTCACGTCTACATGACTTTATTTTGCCCGTAAAAGAGGCCGTTACCCCGAAAAAAAAAAAAAGGGATACAGGACCAAGGTAATCTGGGCCCAGGCTATCATGACTGCACCAACAGCAGCTGTGGTGTATGGGTGTGTAGAAACGGGCAGAACTGAAAGCTCCAGAACAGCTCAAGGATGACTACCGACTGACAGAAGACTCTCAAGAAAAAAGGGAGAGGGTAACTGTAACGGGAATGGTCTTAGAGACTGCTTCCCCATTCCCGTTGGCCTTCCAATCACATAATGACTTACACTCTTTCTGCATGCTCTGTATGGTGATCCCCGAATTACTTATTATTATTCATGCATAATGGACAACTATTTCTCTACACACATCCTTATTCTACCTCCCACACCGTACTCTGAACACAGCAGGGAGTCGAATATGACTCCCTGCATTTATTCTGAAATATGAAGCTGGCCACGACGAGGGTTTCCCCTCAGTTCTTGGTTAGTCCAGAAGGAGTGAGTTCGATGTGTTGTGTCGACTGGAGCTGCTAGTAAATTAGTATGCTTACTGTTACAGTAACATTTAAACATTTAGCCAACTCCAAACTTCACCACACCACAGACAGTGCGTTTTGACCAACACACCTGAGAGTCATGAGATAGATGAAAGTCAATTATTGTTTGGCTCGCTCGGCTTGCCACATCCTCCTCCACTCTTCATAGTCCTTTGCACCTGTTACGGGTAGGCATGTGTTCTCCCACGCAGCGTCCAAGAGACCTCGTGTGTTATCGTTCAGCAAGTGTCGCTTGCCACCCGATGTTGCCACTTTACCCAGCTGCATCCCCGCTGACGGCAACAATCCCATAGGGCCATTGCGCGCCGTTTTCACCAAGCTATCATTAAACTGCTCGCGATGCTCGTACATGTAATCAAACGTCGATCGTTTCAAGGCCGTTTCCACCGCACTGGCGTCGTCAACTCCAATAAACTCTGCAACACGCTTCACCTCCCGCTCCAGATCCTCTTTCATGTCCTCGTAGAACACAAACAAGACATCCTTGTCATGTCGTCGAGGCCACCAGCCCATGTAGTGATCCAAAGGTGTTGTGTTTCTACTGGCCTCACCCGTTATTGTTTGTGGGATTGGTCCCTTCAAGGTTACCTGCTGTATGAAGTGATCTGGCCCGATGTCTTCCTCAGCAAACAACCAGCCACTAACAAACTTATACTCCGATGCAGTTACATCATATGGGTGACGTACTACGGTGATATACTTTCCGCCCTTGGGACACGACGCCTCTGTGAAATGGGTTTTGTACAGCCTTGGCTCAGCTCGCTGTTTGTCATCACAATTCAGTCCCAAATCCACAGCAGATTCCAGGAAAGGCACCACCTCCGTGATCTCACCGAAATCCATATCACCACCGGTGCGTAGCTGATGGCATATTTGCGTCATCCACGTTGTGCCCGCCTTGGGAATGGTCGTGATGAATACATCACTAGATTTGGGTTCAAATGCCATTGCGGCCTGTTTGCCACGTTGTGTGCCGAACTTAGAGCGTGTCACCTCTAACTTCTGGAGTCAATGGGTCTTCTTCAATTCGAGACGCCATTCCAAGCAACTTGCTTTGGGCGTCGTGACTGCTATAAAGACAAGTAGTCACTCGCGCTATTTCCCACAGGTCACTTGCCGGAAAACTCAGTACAGTGTATCAGTAACACAACTATACTCCAGTAGTACACCGTTGGTTACCAGTTACAAGTCCTCGCTAGTTGCACTGCACACTCGCACTACGAGCACACGTCCCGTCACTAACCAATTTGCACCACAAAATAAGTGCATTGCATTGCGATTCAAAAGGATTATCACAGCAATGAATAGACTAGGGTTTTCTGACCATCCCGAGCTGACAGACAGTCAGTCGCGCAGAAAAACACAGACATAGTACATGTATACAGCGTACCTGTACATGATTGTACAGTGTAGGTCTACACAAACAGTGGCCACAAAGACGCCATGCATGCGTCAGGTCACGGGGATCATTTTTTACATCGAACACACCAACACCGATGAATTATGAAGGAAAGGGAGAAATGAAGCAAGAAACATTTTGTAGTCTCGGCTTCATTGCCAGAACTACGCACCGCAATAGAGAGAAGGAGGGGAGAGCGAGTGAGCGTGGAGGGAGGGAACAGGCAAGAGAGTTTTTGAAAGAGAGAGAGAGAGAGAGAGAGAGAGAGAGAGAGAGAGAGAGAGAGAGAGAGAGAGAGAGAGAGAGAGAGAGAGAGAGAGGGAGGGAGGGAGGGAGGGAGGGAGGGAGGGAGGGAGGGAGGGAGGGAGGGAGGGAGGGAGAGAGAGAGAGAGAGAGAGAGAGAGAGAGTAAGTTACATTTATAAAGACAGGCAAGTCTAACAAATGAGGACTGAGACCTCTACAACAGGAGAGAGAGAGAAAAAAGGGGGATAGAGAGAGAGAAAAAAGGGGGATAGAGAGAGAGACAGAGTATGAGAGAGAATAAGTTCCATTTATAAAGACAGGTAAGTCTGAGGGAAAGAGAAGGTGAGAGAGAAAGAGAGCGAGGGAGAGACAAATGGGGAGATAGCCAGACAGACAGATTGAAAGTCAGACAGGCAGAAAAATAAGGTTATGTGCGTTTATACTGTAAGCCGCTTTCTGCATCAGGCTTTAATGCAAACCAGGCTTGTAGGCAAACCATGCTTATATGCACCACTGATATTTTTGCCAGGCTTGTATGCACATAGAAGCCAGGCTTCTACGCGCGACACGCGTAGATCTACCACTGACTACTGGTATGGCGGCAGTTTTACTATGCACCGTACATAGCGCATGCACTCTTGACCTACCCGATCGTCAACTCAACTCTGTCTCTCTCTGTCTCCGTCACACACACACACACACACACACACACACACACACACACACACACACACACACACACACACACACACACACACACACACACACACACACACACACACACATACGCACACACACACACACACACACACACACACACACACACGTACGCACACACACACACACGCACACACACACACACACGCACACACACACATACACACACACACACACAAGCACAGCTCATGTAGCACCTATACACACACATTGCTGTACGTTGTGTAAGTTTGTGTTTGGTTTCCCTTCTTTTCGTAGGTATGTGCACTGTAATAAAAGTAATAAATAAACAACAGCGATGGCACTTCTGGAAATGATACTGATAATTTGTGATAAATATTGCAACTGTCCAGACAGCTGCTTCGCTCTTTTTGACCTCATTGGTAGACGTCAGGCATACGTTGAATGAGTGAATCACGGAATCACGAATGTTGTTTCGCAGCCTAAAATAGATAAAAGTGAGTAGTAACGTTGTATCCAGCAACGTGGTCTATCCTTACTCAATAGTGCATCTCTGCTGACTATCAAACAAGCCAAGCTGGGTTTAAAAGCTAACCATTGTGCAGTAGAGCCAGGGATGGATACAGCATTCAGCATACAGAACACTGGCCTCATGGGACTCCGCCTGAGCACACTGGCAACGAATGACTCGCCAGTGCAATCACTCACCGCACCATTGAATCCCCAGACTAGTGTGTGATCGGCCGATGAATGACACCACCAACTCTCCAGTTGACGTGCTCCTTTCTGAGCAACGCTAGACGAGGGGATCTATCAGCTACCTTGGGTTGCACCAAGGACGCGTGTGCATGTGGACTGGAGTTACAGATGCAAGCATTACTATTACTACAGTTCTTCTTGGTGTTGGTGGTCTCGGTCATCACCGGGCCGGCGGCTAGCAGCAGAGTCCTGCTCCTTGCGCCACATCCGCCTCCATTCCTCATAGTCCGTTGCGCCCGTCACCGGTAGACACATACGTGTCCAGGCAGCATCCAAGAGAGCCCGCGTGGTATCATTCAGCAAGTGTTGCTTGCCACCAGCTGTTTGCACCTTACCATGCTGCATGCCCGCTGATGGCGAAAGGCCCATGTCAACGTTTCGCTTCTTTTTCACCAAGTTGTCATTAAACTGCTCGCGGTGCTGAAACATGTAATCAAACCTCGATCTCTTCAAGGCGATTTCCACCGCACTGGCGTCGTCAACTCCAATAAACTCTGCAACGCGCTTCACCTCCCGCTCCAGATCCTCTTTCATGTCCTCGTAGAACACAAACAAGACATCGCTGTCATGTCGCCGAGGCCACCAGCCCATGTAGTGGTCGAATAGTGTTGTGCTGCCAGCATTCGCAGGCGTTACAACTTGCGGAAGAGGTGATTTGAAGGTTATCTGTTGTAGGAGGTTGTTCGGACCGAGTTCGTCTTCTTCGAACAGCCAGCCGCACAGGAATGTGTATGCCGATGCTGCCACGTCGTATGGGTGGCGCACTGTGGTGATATATTTGCCACCCTTGGGACATGAAGCTTCCAGGAAATGTGTTTTGTACAGCCTTGGCTCAGCTCGCTGTTTGTCATCACAATTCAGTCCCAAATCCGCAGCACATTCCAGGAAAGGCACCACCTCGGTGATTTCACCAAAATCCATATCACCACCAGTGCGTAGCTGATGGCAAATTTGTGTCATCCACGTTGTGCCCGACTTCGGTGTGCTCGAAATGAACACATCACTAGGTTTTGGTTGGAAGGAAGCTGCTGCCTGCTTTCCACGTTCTGTGCCCAGTTTGGACCGCGAGTCTTTCACCCTCTGGATCACTTTTTCCACCTCGGGGGTCACAGGATCTTCAGTGATGCTGGACGCCATCACTAATACTAGGAAATGCAATACCCGGACGGCGGTATTAGCTAGAGCATAAACTAGTATTATCCTACAATGGGCCACCCCTTTCTTGACTCGTAATCATGGGCCATGGGGTAGATCTACTCGAGTCGTAATCGTTTCTCGGAAGTTTTCTTGTATTGTTTTATTTTTTCTTCTGACAGTGACACAGCGGCTACGTGCGTGCACGTGCAACATCGCTGGTGGTCATGCATGCTGCCTACAAAAATTTGTAGAGCCTGCAGGCTGCAGCAGCACAACATGACCTGCACTCCTCAGATCGATCAGCCTCTGCACAGTCTGCAGTCTGCAGCCGAAGCAGCACTGCCAGCAGGAGCCAGGACTCATAAATTCATAATCATCAGGTCAGTCATCAGCTGGTCATGTCACGTCAGGAGTCAGGTAGATCTATGGCCGTACCGTAGATCTAGTCATGACAGAAATTTATGGCGTGGACGCTTCATACCGCGTCTCCAGCTCCGGGCCGTAGATCATCCACGTTTTCTTGGATGTATAAAAACATTCTGGCAAACAGAATCAGCTGAAGCGATCAAAGGATGAGAAATTATTGAAAGCCAAGTCTGCTCTTGTACGATATCTTCAAACTGGCAGTGTGTGTTTCTGTTTTGCGAAGAACGATACCGTTGTGCTGTCGAGCCGACAATGGATGTCAACCAGTCTGAAAAATTCCCTCGCCCTTTCCTCCTGGAGAGGTATTTTGCTGAACATGAATTCACAGCACCACACATGCTGTGCGCGTCGGATTGTGAGTCGCTACCCATGGCTCAACTTGTGTCCATGATGAAGCCAGACACTCGAGAGCTGTGGGACAACCTTGCACTGGGATACACAGAAAGCCAAGGTCATCCGAAATTACGTCATGCAGTCGCGGAGATGTACGAGCACGATGCAATCACGCCAGAGAAAGTTCAAATCCTAGCTCCAGCAGAAGGCATTTACGTCGCACTGCGTAGCTTATTGAAGGCTGGGGATCGTGTCGTATGCACATGGCCTGGCTATCAGAGTCTGAGCGAAGTGGCTCTTGCACAAGGTGCCCATGTGGATCGCTGGGAAGTTGAGGAAGGTGATGCAGGATTTTACTTTGATGTGGATAAGCTGGAGCAGTTGTTGCAGAGTGGACCGTGTCGGGGTGTGATTGTGAACTTCCCGCACAACCCGACTGGTGCTCTCCCGTCGCATGACCAGTGGGAACGTATCATTCGACTGGTGTCGCAGCACGACGCATTCCTGTTCTCGGATGAGATGTACCGTGGACTGGAGTACGACAGCGGTGATTGTCTCGCATCGGCCTGTACCGTCTACAAGCAAGCCATCTCCTTGTCTGGCATGAGTAAGGTGTATGGGATGCCAGGGTTGCGCATTGGCTGGCTTGTGTCTCAGAATACTGATATGCTTGGCAGTTGTGCAGCGTATAGAGACTACTGTACGATCTGCGCATCCGCTCCAGCGGAGGTGTTATCGTTGGCGGGCCTCGAGAATAGTGCTAAACTCCTGGCTCAGAGCAAGGCTCGTGTCCTCAAGACGATCGAGGCGATTGAAGAGATGCTTAGCCACCCGGAGGCTTCGGCCCACTTCACCTTCCATCGTCCAAAGGCTGGCCCGATTTCGTTGATCGGCTTACGTGGGAAGCAGTGTGGCAAGGCCTACTGCAAACGTCTTGTGGAGCAAAGCGGCGTTTTACTCCTGCCCTCTCATCTGCTGGAATGGAAGGAGCATTACATGAGGATTGGGTTCGGTCGTGATTCAGGACCGGCTGTTGTACGTCGGTGGTATGAAGCGGTGAAAGGGGGACTCGTGCCAGAGTAAATAATGTGCGAGTAAATAATGTGCTCTGCTGGACTTCCTCCTATGATGACTGCTCTGAGCTGCCAGGCTGCTTGCGTGGTGTGACATGCCTGGCTAAGAGAGGTTTGTGGACCTAGGCCGCTGCAGCCTTCGCGAAGTGTGATGTGGCTGTGCATTGAAACACACAGTCAAGGCTATACCAGCAATACAATGCCTACTACCACTGCTGAGCCCTGAACTGCCATTCCATTGCTAGTGTATTGAGAGAGAGAGAGAGAGAGAGAGAGAGAGAGAGAGAGAGAGAGAAAGAGAGAGAGAGAGAGAGAGAGAGAGAAAGAGAGAGATAGAGAGAGAGAGAGAGAGAGAGAGAGAGAGAGAGAGAGAGAGAGAGAGAGAGAGAGAGAGAGAGAGAGAGAGAGAGAGAGAGAGAGAGAGAGAGAGAGAGAGAGAGAGAGAGAGAGAGAGAGAGGATGCACGGCCTTATGATCCTGATTTGACGTGAAATTCTCACAACACGTTCCCTCTCTCTCACTTTCTCTTCGCACAATGAGCTCTCAGCACTAGCTTACTAGCTGTGTGCATCTACAAGTTGGCTGTGTTGACTGTAATGCTCTCCTTGCGGCAGCAAAACCGCCATCACTGACCAGCGGCTGTGATTGTTTTCATGGATACACAGGAACTCACCCTGTATGTGCATTGTTGAGTCTGGAGAACTCTGGGAACTCTGGGACCTTGAAACGGTTTCCATTCACAGCACTTCTGCGAAGGAAAACTAGTGATATGTTTCCTTTGTGACCCTTGAATGGAATGAAGAACTTCATTGGCTTTTTCAAAATGTTCTTTAAAAAAAAACTTTTGTGCTGTAGTCTTCAATTTCTTTCACTTGCTCTGTTGACTTTTCCCTTTCACTTTTCAGCACATCTTGAAGCAACGTTTGACTCTGTAACATGCTTCTACTTGTGCTATCCAAGTTTTTTAAAACATTTCTGATGTGGCAGAGTGACAACAACCCTAATATTTCTGGGAGATATACGTTTAGTGTCAGTTGTCCTTAATGGCAAAACATTACCCTCCTACTTTGGTGTGTGCCTGCATGCGCGTGCATGTGTGCCTTTGTGTGTATGCGTGGTGTACGTGTTGTGTGTGTGTCACGTGTGTATGTGTGTGTGTGTGTGTGGGGGGGGGGGGGGGTGCTGTGCTGGCCCCAAACCGTGCAGCTGAATCTGCACATTGCTGCCTTGATACCCTGCTATAGAGAGCCATTGACATTCCCTCGTGTCACCGTGAAACTCGTCTGTGAATGAACTACTAAACCCGGCCGTGCTTTAGATGTCCATGGTGATTGTCGTGTAGTTCTTAGTTTGGACGATGCTGTGCTGGTCACCACCTCCTGGCCAGGTCTTGGCACTAATATCACGCGAGTTCATTGCTTGTGCTGCCTCACGGGAGAGGGAGGAATCCCACTCAACATCAGGACTGAGACAAAAGCAAGCAAGCCGAGATAATTATGATATCTAACTCGACGAGGGAGGCAGTGAGACGGCGGACGGATTTGCGTGCCATGCAGGGGGTTGCATATGGACGGCATATGCGCGGCATGTTTGGGCGCGGAGGTCTCACATGTAGTGCTTCACAACTCAAGTCACCCTGCACCTGAGGGAGTCTAGAAAGCGGTGGTACTCTGATGACTATGCTCCATCTGTTCTATCGCTCAGAACTATGGGCTGCTTTATAAGGCCGGGTGATCCGCAGCATCTCTAGCTGAGCGCTTTCCCTTGTTTTTGTATATCCATGCCATCCGGGTCTGTACTGTATAATAATCTTTATTCCAGGATTACCGTAGCAAAGGCTAATGCCTTTCGGGGCATCTCCTATTTGTGTATGTATAATGAGCATTGTAGTTGGGAAATGAGAAAGCGTGCAAGGTGAGAAAGCGTGCAAGGTGAGTGCGGAAAAGAAAGATGCTGTACAAAATGTACAGTGAAAGAACAAGCATGTCAATCAACGATTGCACATCAAAGGCAGGGGCGTCGGTAGGTATTTTAGTGTGGTACGGTCAGCCATCCGAAGTACAATTTCCTCGTGGGGGAGTGGTGGCTGAGCCGAAAATTTTGGAAAATTAGATCCCAGCTAAGTGTAATTTATTGATTCACGGGTATACCTGGGGCAAAAAGTGGTACGGTCAATACCGTAGTGACCGTAGCGTGTCCGACGCCCCTGAAAGGTACGTATATGACTGTACCTTTGACATTATTCCGGGCCCGGGGGGGGGGGGGGGGGGGTACAAGCCTGCCGAGTGCTAGCTGTGACTAGTGCCAGTAGCAGTGGAGGCAGTGATTCTTCCAACCGTTGAATTCTAACCGGGGTCCAGCGCAAAGCGCCACGCTCCAGGCAGTAGATCTGTTTTCATGGGAGTGTGCGTGCGCGGGGTGGGGGGCTGACACTTGACCTGAGCAGAAAACTCTTAGGCCACACCAAAAAGATTTCGTGTTTCCGGTCGGCCGACCGGGTCCGTTTTTTCAAAAATTATGGAATTTTTTTTGGTTTACAAGTACAAAAAAAACAAAGAAAAACAAGCAAAAACACTGAAAGCATTGTGTTGCTTTGCTCGAACCGAAATAAAAGTTTGACTGAATGCAGAGACGAAAATTCCGGAGCTGGAGAAAAGGTCGCCAAGAACGATGGCTGCTTAGAGCAGCCCGCTTTGTGCCCAGTGCTGACGATGGCTGCTCAGAGCAGCCCGCTTTGTGTCCAGTGCTGGCGGGGTGCGAAGTGTCTTCTTCAGCAAAGGATAGTTCGCGTCTCCCATGAAACCACTTTGAAGGAGTTGTTTTGTGAGGAAGTGCAGCCTCGCTTGCCTGAGGACGTCACGTCTTTAGAGTGGATTGTCGCAGCTACAGCAAGCAGCAATGGTGGGGCAGGAACGTGGAAAGATGTAGAGGTAACTGACACTGTCGGCCTTGTTGTCGAAATACGAATTTGGATGCCGTTTCCTGGATTTTCGCTTGGTGGACGTAGCTCCTGCTGCCAAGCGACCGTGCCCTGACCGTCCCTCGGCATTCGATGTGCTTCTGGGAGCAGCAGCTACTGCGTCCCGCGGTGGTATTCTACTCCATATTCCATGTGTAAATATGTATAATGTGTATCACCAGTGTCTGATCCAAACTTTCTCAATTTGGCTCATGTCTATGAACATGATGAATACAGCAGGGAAATAAACTTTCAAACCAAAAAATAATAATTTTCCGACCGACCGGGCGTATTTTTTCGGGGGGTGCCGACCGGAAACACGAAATCTTTTTGTTGTGGCCTTATGTAAATGCAGCGAAATGGTGCAAGCACTAGATTTGTGGCGCCTTACACGGGTGGATGGTGTCACTAAAAAGCAGTACAGGGTGGCCAATGGTAGATTTCATGTTGGTTAGCTTCACTCACTGCAAAAGCCTGGCACTATTAGTACTGCCTTTACTGGGGCATTGAAAAAGCGAATTCCGAGACCACAACGTTATGAATGGCGATAATGAGGACGAACTGTAAGGGGACCCAGCACCCAGTTTCGGTGGAAGTGCGCCAGTTCGATTGGGAATAAAGGAGGAAGGGAGCGGCGCCTCAGCTCAGCTTCCTCGGACCGAAACCATTCGACTCAGCACCCCGTTGACTACTGGTGTTCGATTGGGAATAAAAGAGGAAGGGAACGCCTCAGCTTCCTCGGACCGAAACCATTCAGCACCCCGATGACTACAACTGGTGTACTCCTTGTCAGTTTTGTGCTAAATTGTGCACGTCTGACTGTTCAAAATCTGGTTTAGTAGTTGGTGGACTCGATCGCATAACTTGTGTCCACAATTTCCATGTTACAATTGTTTTTCCTTGGCTCACCATCTGAGTTCTTAAAATACATTATGGAGTGTATATTTAAAATCATTGTTCAGCACGGATACTCTTCAGTCACGACATTCCACTGATGAATGTGACAGGAAAATCGATTTTGGAAAACTTTCATGACTTCATTGCAGTGTGGCGATGACAGCAGAATTTGTTCTCCTTATTGCTATTTTAAAATTACCAACTATCCGAGAACTTCGTACAGTGTGCAAGCTAGCCGCAAGACAACTAGACCTTGACGGATTATGCTAGCATAATTTTTCGCATAATTCCTACCAAAATCGAATAATCGCATAATTCGAGGCAAATCGCATACGAATCGCATAAATAATGGAATAATCCGCCTGTTCGCACCAAATTCCATAGAGTTGTACATGTTCTACAAGTACAAGTAGATACACCAGGAAATCGTAGGTTTACGACTCCCTTGATAACATGTTCAGTCCATTACAATCAGTGATGGTCGTAGCTACAATTGTAGGTCGGACGGTGCGTTGACCCCGTTGAGCTTTTGCTACTACAGTACAACGCCCTATAAAAAAATCCCCTGTTATCCCCTGTTATTTTGCACAGAACCATAATATACATTAGCAGCATATGTGAGCATAATGCGGCATAATATGATAACTTTCAGCATAAAAATAGTATAATTCTGCAATTTTTCAGCAATGCGAAAAGCATAATTTCACGAAAATATTACTTCTTGAAGTAGCATAATCCGTCAAGGCTTAAAGACGACACCAAGACGGGAGACATGGTAATAATTCAAATACATTACATAATGTAGATGCCTGAAACTTAGGAAGGGAACACAACTAATGTCGTCTGAGCTTTTACGAAACAGTACTCCACACCTGGTCTGGTATGTCTCTGCATGAGAATTGCCAGTTGGCATCTGACAGAGATGCCTGGCAGTCGCACTGTGCATCTACTGCTTACACAGCTGCATAATGCCGTTTAGGCCAAACTAAAAAAGGTGTGTGGTTCGACTAACATGGACATTTTTTTTACGGGCGGGCGGGCAGATTTTTTTTTTTAATATATTTTTTAGTACATGTAAATACACTGTATACGCGTATCGAGTAGACTCTACTACCAGCACAAGGCAGCAGTCGTACCACTCACTGCACTGCACTGCAGTACAACTACAAGTCAAGTCCAAAAGGAGCCGCCTGCGTCCGCAGACTCACGCCGCACAGCACGTAGACGTGGACGTGTTCAGTCCACGTACGTCAGTCACACGACAGCCCGCCGAAAAAAAGTTACGGTTGGGCTGAAATTGTACGGTCGGTCGGGTGAGTCGAACCACACACCTTCTTTAGTTTGGCCTTATTATTATTTTTAAAATTTTACTTTTATTATTTTTTCGGCAACGCAGATGATGATGATGATGATGATGATGATGATGACTCCACACCTGAACTCTTCGATATAATAAGGTCTATTTAGTGAAATAGAAGATGTGCACAATGAGTAGGAATATGGTGATTGGGCTGACAATTTGCAGGGTGGAAGCCTTGGAGCTCTCCATAGGTGGGATGGGTGGAGTGCCTGAGTTGCAGTCATCGCCAGTACAGCATTTCCAGCAGTAGCCTACAGTCCCATTGGATGTCTCCTGCGTCTGGCAAGTGGAGTTCTGGGTTCCGCAGTTGATCTGGGCTGTGTCAGCTGATGTATAGCACTTCTTGATCCAGGTCCTCTCACCAGTACCGGCACCTGCAGAGGACGGGAGGCGGCAGAAAAGTCACAGAACAGAGCTGTAGCATCCCCGGCATCCATGATCCAGTCCGGCCGGTCAGGCCATGGCTGGACCACACCTTATTTCGAAAAAAAACGTGACCCATCCAATTCGTGCAAACTGGGGAAGTAGTTAGTTGAAGGTTCTTGAAGCTGTTTGCATTCGCAGTGCACGCACAAGCTTGATCTGTTAGTTGAAGGTTCTTGAAGCTGTTTGTATTCGCAGTGCACGCACAAGCTTGATCTGTGTAAGCAAAAGGAGCATGTTGTTGCACTTAGGTTATTTGGTGTGTCTACACCATCTTGACTAATAATACTGCTGAAGTCGCAACTTCTAAGTTCGTGTTGTTGTCCCTAACGCGGACGTGCGACTAGTTGTTGGACGTGACAGCGTTGTGAATAGCTACTGGCTCTCAACGTCTGTTTAGCACAACTCCATGAGCGACTCTGACTCACGCTGCTACGTGGGGCTTCACGAGGTGTTTGTCGCGCTGGAAACAAAGCGTCTCTGTAAGTTTGTATCCCTAGTGATGGTTTGGCCTGGAGAGCAGTATAAAAGTGGTGCTTTTCAGGCACAATCTTCCCCAGCCTACTCAAGCTCAACTGATTTATTTGTTTATTCATGGATTCCCCAAAGGCCGAGGCCTAAGTCGAGGGGGTCTCCGTTCATGGCTTACTGGGAATATATCTGCAAAATTATAATTATAGATTGAGAAGAGGAAGGGTTATAACAAATGCGTACTGTAGAAATCAGCCATAACATTCGTTACTATGTTATAGAAACTCTAGAAGGAATGAAACCAGCGGGTTCGAAGCGGGTGTTGGCAAAGATGGTACGGACACGAGACACAAAGCAATGACTATTTTGGGTGGTTCTAATGTCAGTGGGGAGAGAATTCCAGGTGGCAGCGGTAACAAAGAGGAAAGTGGCACGCGAGTAGGTGTGCGCCCTGGCAGGCGGGACAAGTTGGAGAGGACGATGAGGGGTGAATTCCCGGAATCACTGTGTATTGAGCAGGGAGTGGTGCTTTCTTGCAGGTTTGCGGAGTGGATGGTGCGACGTACTCCTTGTGTGCTCCGGCTGGCAGTCGTTGTTGTTGTTGTTGTTGTTATTTTATTTTACATCGCATGGCAAACGGGCAGTTCTGCCCAATATTATGAAAGCGATGACAACCAGTAAGAAGAGTCAGAAATGAAGAGAAAATAAATGAAAATAAAAATACCAAAACGGAAGTAGCAATGAGGGGAGGCAGGGTCAAGACGAGCAGAAAAAAATGGATCTCAAATTTACAAGTCGGGTCATCGTAGCATGATTCTATCGAGTCTCATCAGCAGGTTACGAAAGCCATTACATTTAACCGAAGTAGAATACGCGTAGCATGCGTTTGAATTCACGGACAGATACTATGGACTTCATACAGTCGGGCAGGCCATTCCAGAGTCGGCAGCTGGCTAGAAGCGGTCGGCATGCGCCAGAAGCACTGTGGGCCAGGGGGAGGGGAAGGTTGCGTCACAATTGACCTCGAGTGGTCATGCCTGTCGGCGGGCCTTGCAATACAATTCGGGACGACAACAGCTCACTGACGATTCCAGAACGGATTCTAAATGTCAGGAGTCGGAGCTTGCATTCCCCTCCTTCCAGCACTGGGCAGACACCCAGCCTGGTGTACAGGGGAAGAGTGTGGGCCAATGGGTGCTCATCGGCCACGCAACGGATGCAACGTTTATTTATTATAGTCGTGAGTCAGTCAAGCGTCAAATTCGGCAAGAAGTGTGTGTTCCTCATTGGAACAACCAACTTCATGACTAATACCGCCGAAGTCGCAACTTCTAAGTTCCTACACCCCCTTGTTCATGATTTGTTTTCTGAACTAATCTTTATCATATACATTTGTCACACGTACATTCTATCTTTACCTTTATCCTCTGCAATAGCAATGAATACAACTATTATATATGGATCTACGGGATTCTACGAGATTTTGTGGATCTGTACAAATGGCAATCGGTCTATTGTGCACTCATAACCATGCACATGTACTTCATATGAAACAGTAATTTATTTATGAAAAAATCCATAGCGTTTTCTCGTGACTAACTTATCATCAGTGGAACATCGTCACATGGTAAGAATCACTAAAACAACCAGTTGTATAGCTTAGTTATATAGTTATTCCTTCTTTCCATGTCGTATTGTTTGAATAAACTCGTTTTGAAGCAGGCTATACATGTATATACTCCTCAGTCGTCACGACGATAGTCTATTTTAAAATAATCATTATAGTCTACTTCGAAGTATTATAGACTCATATATGAGTTGTTGTTGTTGTTGTTGTTGTTGTTGTTGTTGTTGTTGTTGTTGTTGTTGTTGTTGTTGTTGTTGTTGTTGTTGTTGTTGTTGTTGTTGTTGTTGTTGTTGTTGTTGTTGTTGTTGTTGTTGTTGTTGTTGTTGTTGTTGTTGTTGTTGTTGTTGTTGTTGCAGTTGTTGTTGTTGTTGTTGTTGTTGTCGTCGTCGTCGTCGTCGTCGTCGTCGTCGTCGTCGTCGTCGTCGTCGTCGTCGTCGTCGTTGTTGTTTATTTTACTTCGCAGATTCTAACGGGCAAGTTGCCCACTAACAAGAAAGCGAAGGCAAAGAAAATAATAATACTAATAAAAGAAATAATCGGGGGCAGCAGAAAATGAATAATAGCTTTAGGAACTCAGCGGGTGAGCCAACGAACAAATTTCCATGTTACAAATAATCGCTTTTAAAAGTAAAAAGAAAAGAGCGGGTGGTACAGCAGACTTCCTATTCTGAATTCCCTGAACGAAGCAGAGACGTTATCATGGGAAGCGCAGTGTTCGAAATGCTAACAATTTCCAAGTACGAATCGGAAGTAGTCGGCGCACGACGCCGTCTCCTGTTCACACTCGATTGCAGCCGTTTTGTACGCTTGCGTCCCGGTCTACGCCCGTCTACGGTCCAGCATCGCAGGGAGCAGCCTTGTGGGTCTGTAGCGACCTGACTCACTGAGTATTACGTCATTCTACAGACGCATGCGCAAGAAATAAAATCACTCTCTTTGGTCACAACTTCTTCGTTGTCGGGTTGGCCAAAGTAGCCGTCGTCTAGGGCATGTCTCTCTTTCCTGCTTTTCTGATTTTTGTTTCAGCATTTGTGCCACGATGTTAACAAATTTCACACACGCAGCGTTTTCGCTTGTACATATGTATCATATTATTATATTTTTGCCTTTCCGCCTTGTACATGCTGCGTTTCCTTTCTCTTCTCTTTTTGTTTCTTGTTTATCGTGCTTCGCTCCTCCCGACCTCACCACTGGCGGGGGAGTACTGTAGCGACCTGACTCACTGAGTATTACGTCATTCTACATACGCATGCGCAAGAAATAAAATCACTCTCTTTGGTCACAACTTCTTCGTTGTCCGGTTGGCCAAAGTAGCCGTCGTCTAGGGCCCGACGTAAAACCCTAAAGGTCTCTGCGCTCTAAAAGTAGCGCTACTTTTTACACTCGTACCAACAGACTGGACGTAGTGCTAGTTTCAAACATCGATTGTGCTAGACAAGGTAAACATTTGGAAACTTTATGCTAGGGCAGTGCCGGTCTTCCCCACATGGGTCATTATGCTAGTTATTATGCTAGCATTATCCGCCCGTGCCTACCGCCGGCCTGATCACTTTAGTACGGTGTTTCCACTGATGATCGGCCCCTGGAAATCGATTCTGGACACAAACACATTTACACATCTACCAAGTATTAGTTGTCATATTGCGTGGTGATGTCTGCAGCATAATGCCGCCATTCATACTCTTCATAGCTCTTATAAACAATTTTTGGCAATTTTTTCCCGAGCAGAATTTGCAGACCCCTATAGGTACACACAGGGTGGTACGCTTCACACTCTGTGACGTTGTGCACTCATGCCAACAATATTAACTGCAGAGAATAAGTCCGGGACAAGTGCAAGAGGTTATGGTGGTGTCGCTATCCTTGTTCGACAGAATAAGTTTAAGTCTGTTGCCATGCGTCCCGATCTAGCTCGCGATGGGTGCGAAGCCGTTTGGGTTCAAATCCAGCCGTATCCGGCTGCAGCTGAGCCGATCCTCCTCTGCTGCAGTTATCGTCCACCTTCTGCTAAGCCAACAGATATAGCAAGGTACTGCCAGACTCTCGAAGACGTACTCATTACTCTTCCTCTTTCATCTTCTCACGTTATCTTGACAGGTGATTTTAACAGCAAACACACGTCATGGTGTTCGACAGATTCCACCAATACTGCCGGTGCTGGATTGTATCGCACGCTCAGTCCATTTGGTCTTCACCAACTCGTCAACACATGTACATACACGTCACCCTCTGGTGTCCAAGCCTGCTTGGATTTGGTATTTAGTAACCGTGCCAATCTCTCGTCTTGCGTCGAAACTGACTGCCCTCTGGGCGCCTCAGACCATGCCATTGTGTACTGCCAGTTCGACATCCCCCTGCCTCAGTCTCCCCGCGAAATAACGTCTCAAGCTCAGGAGCCTAACTCTATGTCTTTCGATCTCCGACACGTCACACCTGCTGTGTGGGAGGCGGTCAATGCAGACTTAGACTCAGTACCTTGGAACTCATTAATATCCTCAGACGTGGACAGTGCACCTAGTAACCTGCACAGTGTCCTGCAGACTGTGCTGTCCAAGTATGTTCCCCTTCATAGCTCCCGCAAACCAAATCGAACTCCCTCAACCCCAGGGTCTACACGCAAATATCATCCATGGGTTTCCACTGAACTACGCAAGGCTATCAAGTTGAAGCGTGACCTATTCAGCCTCTCCAAGAAATTCCCTACGGACTACAACCTATCAGTATATAAGGCACAGCGGAACCAGGTGAGACATCTCTCCCGCTGGTGCCACCGCCAGTACATTCGTTCAATCAAAACAACACTTACCTCAGGCAGCACTACGCTTCACCAGTTTGTCCGCAGTCAGCGATCGCACAAAGTAAAACCTGGCATCCCTGACATTGCAAGCCCTGATGGGCTGCTGGTGTCCGACAGCAACCATCCTCAACAAGCAGTTTACCTCTGTCGCGGTGCCTGATGACCCACGTTTAGTAATACCCCCTCTCCAATATGACACTCGTCTTACTCGCCAATTCACCCGCGTTCATATCACTACAGCAGATGTTCGTAAAGCCATCTCAAACCTGAAATCTGGGAAAGCGCCAGGGCTAGACGGTATCACGAACAATATGATAAAGAAGCTAGCTCCTGCGATTTCTTTTCCACTTAGCCGCCTATTTAACCTCTCCTTTACCACAGGCAAGTTCCCTACTGACTGGAAACTGGCTAAAATTGTGCCTATTTACAAGTGCAAAGGCAGCAAATCTCAAGCTAGTAACTATCGCCCAATTTCCCTCCTGTCCTGTATTTCCAAACTTTGCGAACGGCTCTTCTTCAATCAATTGTATAATCATATTTCTCCTGCTCTGGATCCCGCGCAATCTGGGTTTCGTCGTGGTGACTCGACCGCTCTACAGCTCACCAAGCTGATCCAAAACATTGCCGACCATCGTCATATGGGGCGGAAAGTTGCCATGTGCTTTTTCGACCTCGAGAATGCTTTCGACACCGTGTGGCACCGTGCATTACTTGCTAAACTTTCCAAAGTTTTCGGTGTGTGTGACTCAGCGCTGGAGTGGATTACAGACTACCTATCCGACAGAACGCAAGTTGTCTTTGTAGGTGGAAGTCTCTCAGATGCTTCACCTGTTCTGTCCGGAGTGCCCCAGGGATCCATCCTAGGGCCCCTCCTTTTCCTAGTGTATATAAATGATCTTCCTAGTCATGTTGAAGGTGTGTCCTTATTTGCTGACGATACTGCACTGCTCCGGTTCAATGAGTGTCTAGACAGGCTGCGAGACAGTCTCCAGCGCGGTATCAACGAAGTCCATCAGTGGATGACTACCTGGAGACTAAGACCTAATATCGCCAAGACTGAGATATTATTCCTGCCGAACTCAGAGCCAACCTATGCATTCACTCTTCCCGGATCCCTCACAGACCTCACAGTGGTAAAACAACACAAACATCTTGGTTTGGTCATTGACTCAGACTTATCGTTTAGTAGACATGTCGACTATATCTGTAGCAAAGTCAGTAAAGCTGTTGGCTACCTCGTGTCTCACTGCTCCCACCTACCGCTTGAATGCATTCGCCTTTTTTATCATTGCTATATTCTCCCCATTTTTCTCTATTGCTCAACCGCCTGGTCATCCCTACTTAGTAAATCGTTAATGAGTACCCTGGAAGTCCACAATAAGAGGATACTCAAAGTCCTTTTCCGCAAACCATCATACTTTCCTTCTGCCGAGCTGTATGATATGTTTAACACCTTCCCTATCTCTAGTCAAGCGGATCGAAAACTGTGTATTGTTGTTCATTCTATTCGTCTTGACAAAGCCCGGCCACACTTGCGTAAATATAACTGGTTTCTTCCCACTCGTCCTACGCGCAATCCCTGCACTTTACCTAAAGCCCGAACCTCAGCTTATACCAGATCTCCGTTTTTTGCTGCTTATTCTCTCTGGCTGGCCCTGCCTCTATCAGTAAAATCGTCTTGTACGCTAAAGGATTTCAAGGCCAACATGAAGCTCGTGTTCTAATAACTGCTAGTTCTTCATCCACATTTGTTTCTCTTTGCCTCCAGTAATGTGTAATATTTATTTATTTTTGCTTTGTTTTTGTTTACTGCCATGGTTGGCTACCGCCCCCTCCCTCCATATTGGCCTATATTCTCTGGCCACGGGAAGGTGAAATAAATAAAAATAAATAAATAAATAACCCAAACGGCTTACCATCAACCCCGACATAATTGGACCCTGACAGGCAGTAGGAATCGCACAACTCTGTTCTCTCTTTGCAGTTGTAGGTGCTGCCAGTACATGTGCCCGTGGTCACTTGGCATGTCTTCCGAGATTGTAGATAGGATACGGCACTGGGTGGAGTGGCGTCCTTGCAGTCACTTCCAGTGCAGCATTTCCTGCAGTATGTGTGTCTGGACGCGCTATCCGTCTTGCACGCGGAGTTCTGGGTTCCGCAATCAATCTGGAAGGTGTCAGCGGAAGAATAGCACTTCTTGGTCCAGGTGGTTACACCAGCTCCTGCAGAGGTAAAGGAAAACAGCGGGAGGGACTCATTATTGAAGTTTTTGAGGAATAAACCCAGGTGACGTGGTAATACACACTGGCTATAGTCCTTAATCTCTTCCAGGGCACACCGCGCAAACAAACTGTTTCAATTCTCATTGTCGCGTCTCTTCTTCTCTCTTTCTGCATACAATCGCTAAGCTATGGAGCTGCCTTCCACCAAGGCTGACATCCCTAGATTCCCTTTCTACATTCAGCAGCAATTTTGCTGACACGAGAAAAATAATTTATTACTTGAGTATATAATTGAGCATGGTGGTATATCACTGGGCTTTTAATTGTTTACTTCGAATAAACTACTTCAGGAGTAGTCCTGTTTTATTGCTCAGTATGATTATAGTTCGAACTCAGATGGTGAGCCAAGGAATTTTAGAATTGAAGATATGGAAACCAGTAGGGCACAAGTCATGCGGTAGAGTCCACGAACTAAACCAGATGTTCAACATCCAGACGTGCTCCAGCAACAGGCTCACGAGGTGTAGGCTCCTTCGGATTATGCTCGCGAAATCATATTCTTCCATGATAGCTCGCATTATGCTCTCAAAGTCTGCATATTTTGCTTTGAGATCCGGGGATAAAATTCACTTTGCGGTGATGCTTTATGGAGCTTCTGAGTTTGTAAAATTGTGTTCTTCGTACTTTCAAGTGGCCGCAACTTACTATAGAAGCGCGAACACGATACATATGAACGATAAAAATGAAGATCAGGCTCGGATCAGCTGTAACCGTACGAAGGCACCAAAACGGAAAGGAGTCTATGAAGAAATACAGGATCGAAAACGGAAAACGGGACGCCGTGCGTGCCTGCGTGGTCGTGTAATTGTAAACGCAGCCTACGCTGGCTGCGTCACTAGCATTTGTCTGTTTTACCCTAGTTTCTTGTGTTCATCACATGACATATGGATACATTTTTGGATACATCATAGAGTAAAAGAGAAGCAGAATAATGGTCTTTTGAGAGCAAATAAATTGAAATAATATCAGATTGACTAAGATGAAAATAATGTTTGCCAGTATCCCGAGCAGAATTCGCCAACCCCTTCAGGTCCAATATTTAAACTCAAATGTTGAGCGATAATTATCTAGTTACGGTGGTGGACAGTTACTCTCAACTCTCAACCATATATTCCTTTTCTTAGCCGACAGATACACACAGGGCTTTAAAAGCTCTATACTCTGTGATGTTATGCACTCATGCTAACAATAATAACCCAAGCGGCATACCATTAACGATGTCATAATCGGACCCTGACAGGCAGTAGGAATCGCACCACTCTGTTCTCTCTAGGCAGTTGTAGGTGGTGCCAGTACATGTGCCCGTGGTCACTTGGCATGTCTTCAGAGATTGTACATAGGATAAGGCACTTGGAGGAGTGTCGTCGTTGCAGTCAGTTCCATTGCAGCATCTCCTGCAGTATGCGTGTCCGAACCCATCCGTCTTGCACGTGGAGTTCTGGGTTCCACAATCGATCTGGGATGTGTCATTGGAGGTATAGCACTTCTTGGTCCAGGTGGTTACACCAGATCCTGCGGAGGTAAAGGAAAGCAGCGGGAGGGACTTATTATTGAGGGTTTTAAAGAATAAGCCCAGGTGACGTGGTCACACATACTGACTATAGCTTCCAGGGCACACAGACCAACAAACTGTTTCAATTCTCATAGTCGCATCTCTTCTTCTCTCTTTCTGCATACAATCACTAAGCTGTGGAGCTGTCTTCCACCAAGGCTGATATAATAATATTCCCTTTCTAAATTCAGAAGCAATTTCGCTTGCACGAGAAAAATTATATAATTGAGAGTGGTGGTATATCACTGGGCTTTTATTTGTTTGCTTGTAATAACCTACTTCAGAAGTAGTCCTGTTTTATTGCTCAGTATGATTATAGTTGTGGGGATTGCCCGATTCAAAATTTGAATAATAATAATAATAATTTTAGAATTGCGATCAACAGAACGAGCTGAACCGACATTTCACAAAGGCTTTTATTGTTTTCAAAAAACGAGTGGATACGAAGGCAGTGAAGAACATGGAAGAAAGAAAAAATGTGATATGGAAAAAATGATGAACAAAAAATTGTACTTTGAACTTCCGTGATAAGCATCCATTTGCTTTTGGAGAATCCTTTTAAATAAATACAATACAATACAATACAATACAACTAGTTTTCGCATAACACTCCTCAGGAAGCTACGTTGTACTAATGAAAAACAATCCAGAAAGATACTAATAAAGAGAAATGGAGTGAGAAGAAACAACACCTATGAAAATGATAATCCTAGCACTAAGGTAATAACAGGAAAAACTGCGAAAGCACTTAACGAACTTGTAAGGACTACTAGTATACTGTGACACAAGATATGACACCATGGCCAACCAGAGCCAAACAGACAGAACAAGCTGCTACTAAAACAATTTTAAACGAATAATGCTGTCCTTCTGGACACACAGATTAGGCTTATGAATACGTTGACAAACAGCTTCTAACACACTCAACTGCAACTTACAACCATGACGAGCACGGCACAAAACAGAAAAAGAAGAATCAGAATAAACCTTGCAGCAATCAGGACGAGTGTGTCCAGAAGGACAGCATCATTCGTTTGAAATTGTTTTAGTAGCAGCTTGTTCTGTCTGTTTGGCTCTGGTTGGCCATGGTGTCATATCTTGTGTCACAGTATACTAGTAGTCCTTACAAGTTCGTTAAATTAAGTGCTTTCGCAGTTTTTCCTGTTATTACCTTAGTGCTAGGATTATCATTCTCATAGGTGTTGTTTCTTCTCACTCCATTTCTCTTTATTAGTATCTTTCTGGATTGTTTTTCATTAGTACAACGTAGCTTCCTGAGGAGTGTTGTGCGAAAACTATTTATTTATTTATTTATTTATTTCACCTTCCCGTGGCCAGAGAATATAGGCCAATATGGAGGGAGGGGGCGGTAGCCAGCCATGGCAGTAAACAAGAACAAAGCAAAAATAAATAAATATTACACATTACTGGAGACAAAGAGAAACAAAGGTGGATGAAGCACTAGCAGTTATTAGACCATGAGCTTCATGTTGGCCTTGAAATCCTTTAGCGTACAAGACGATTTTACTGATAGAGGCAGGGCCAGCCAGAGAGAATAGGCAGCAAAAAACGGAGATCTGGTATAAGCTGAGGTTCGGGCTTTAGTTTAGGTAAAGTGCAGGGATTGCGCGTAGCTACTAGTTCGAAGTACAATTTTTTGTTCATCATTTTTTTCCATATCACATTTTTTCTTTCTTCCATGTTCTTCACTGCCTTCGTATCCACTCGTTTTTTGAAAACAATAAAAGCCTTTGTGAAATGTCGGTTCAGCTCGTTCTGTTGATCGCAATTCTAAAACTATTGTCGCCTCGACGCCTATTTAAATAATAATAATAATAATAATAATAATAATAATAATAATAATCATGCACCTTACATTTACGAACACGGGCCTGAATACGTTTAGGTGTTACGCCATGTTTAAGACAATCACGCAAAAAAGAGTGATTACAAAGAACATTGGCGACGAAAACGTTTAGGAACAAGCTTATTTATTATACATGAAAACAAGTTTTGCTTATGGTGTTTGTACTGAGTGCGCAGCTTACTCTATTTATTGCGTTGATTACATTTTTATCTCCACGGAAGCTTTTTAATTATTTGAAGAGGAGACATGATAGATCTGAGATTGAAATTCTCAACAATGCGCTGCAGTGTCGCGGCCGTCTTAACAATGTTCTTTGTAATCACTCTTTTTTGCGTGATTGTCTTAAACATGGCGTAACACCTAAACGTATTCAGGCCCGTGTTCGTAAATGTAAGGTGCATGACTACATGAAGATTGAGCGAATAATTGTTAATAATAATAATAATGGGTCGCAAATATCCACGCAAACACACATCCAGTCATAATAAGGCACTTGTCATAAGTATCCGAACGTTTTCGGTCCCTTCTCATCAAGGATTATACAGGGAATGGCTCAAGCTGGAAAGACTAAAACTTATATAGCGTAAAGAACACTCGTGACAAGGTGGAAAATTATCAAGTTTAGCACGACACAAAACTCGAAGGAAAATAATAATAGTGACAACAACATAGTGAGCAAATTAAGTTACATTGTTACCACCTCGACGAGGAGTAACACCAAACAATTGTAGCGACAACACATTTTCTTTCTGTACGCTATATAAGTTTTAGTCTTTCCAGCTTGAGCCATTCCCTGTATAATCCTTGATGAGAAGGGACCGAAAACGTTCGGATACTTATGACAAGTGCCTTATTATGACTGGATGTGTGTTTGCGTGGATATTTGCGACCCATAACTTACCTTCGTTTTAAAGTATTATCCGCCTCCGACCTCTTTAAAAAAAAAAAAATAATAATAATAATAATCCAAGGTAGGACGTCGTTGAGGAGGATTCGACCAGTGAGTCCAGTGAGTCCGGTGAGTGTGAGAGCGAGAATGATTGTGTGAGTAAGAGTGGGTGCGAGCGTGTGTTTTCTAGTAGGAAGTCATCAGTGTACATGTATAAGCATCTTGTATCTCGTCCTGATTGCTGCAAGGTGTATTCTGATTCTTCTTTTTCTGTTTTGTGCCGTGCTCGTCATGGTTATAAGTTGCAGTTGAGTGTGTTAGAAGCTGTTTGTCAACGTATTCATAAGCCTAATCTGTGTGTCCAGAAGGACAGCATTATTCGTTTGAAATTGTTCTAGTAGCAGCTTGTTCTGTTTGTTTGGCCATGGTGTCATATCTTGTGTCACAGTATACTAGTAGTCTTTACAAGTTCGTTAAGTGCTTTCGCAGTTTTTCCTGTTATTACCTTAGTGCTAGGATTATCATTTTCATAGGTGTTGTTTCTTCTCACTCCATTTCTCTTTAATAATAATAATAATAATAATAATACGAAGTAGTGGTTGCGACTTCGGCGATGATTTGCAAGAAAGGGTTTGCTCCCCACACCGGAGCTCGCGCTATTCCGCCGACTTTACTTGACACTTGACTGACTCACGACTGCCATCCAGAGCACACCAGAAGTCCATGGAGCGACACTGACTCACGCTGCTATCTGGTGTTCACGAGGTGTTTGTCGCGCTGGAAACGCAGCGTCTCTGTAAGTTTGTATCCCTGGTGATGTTTGTGCCTGGAGAGCACTATATAAGTGGTGCTCTTCAGGCACAATCTTCCTCAGCCTACTCAAGCTCAACTGATGAGGGGTGAATTCCCCGAAACACTGTGTATTGAGCAGGGAGTGGTGCTTTCTTGCAGGTTTGCCGAGTCGAAGGTTCGATGGACTTCTCGTGTGCTCTGGATGGCAGTCGTGAGTCAGTCAAGTGTCAAGTAAAGTCGGCGGAATAGCGCGAGCTCCGGTGTGGGGAGCAAACCCTTTCTTGCAAATAATAATAATACAAAAAATGTATTATCTACGCATGCATCTACGCAAGAGTCACCACCAGCCAATTAGGACATGTGTCAAAGTATTGAACGTTTTCGTTCCCTTTTTGTCAAAATACTACAGAGAATGATGGAAATAAGCTAAAAGACTACAACTATAAGGAAAAGAAGTTCAGAAATATATCACTCCAATTATGTGTAGAAGTGACACGAAAAAATAGATGTGAAGAATCAAGAAAACAGCATGCAAATCCAATAAGTGACAAAAACGTAGTGACAAGAAAAAGAGAGAAATATCAAGAGATCTATTTCGCACCTTCACGACGAACAGTGCCAAACAACTGCAAAGACAACACATTCTCCTTCTGAACACAAAGCTCAGGGTCTAACTTACGTATGTACAAAGCTTCCAACACGGCAAGATGTAACAAAGACCTACCACGCGACAAAACAGAGAATACATCATCGGAATACCACTCACGACAACTAGCACTGCCCGACAGGTGGCACTTGATTGCCGAGGTACCGTTTCCCTGACCCGACGACTTGGCCGTTGTCACCTCCGATATTGCCGCTTGCGAATCTCTCCCATTACGCCCTGCGTCCCTGCAACTCCAACTGCCTCGGTCGAGATCAGTGTGCTGCTCCACGTCCAGTCTGTCCTGCTTCCATCTTGACTAATAATACTGCTGAAGTCGCAACTTCTAAGTTCGTGTTGTTGTCCCTAACGCGGACGTGCGACTAGTTGTTGGACGTGACAGCGTTGTGAATAGCTACTGGCTCTCAACGTCTGTTTAGCACAACTCCATGAGCGACTCTGACTCACGCTGCTACGTGGGGCTTCACGAGGTGTTTGTCGCGCTGGAAACAAAGCGTCTCTGTAAGTTTGTATCCCTAGTGATGGTTTGGCCTGGAGAGCAGTATAAAAGTGGTGCTTTTCAGGCACAATCTTCCCCAGCCTACTCAAGCTCAACTGATTTATTTGTTTATTCATGGATTCCCCAAAGGCCGAGGCCTAAGTCGAGGGGGTCTCCGTTCATGGCTTACTGGGAATATATCTGCAAAATTATAATTATAGATTGAGAAGAGGAAGGGTTATAACAAATGCGTACTGTAGAAATCAGCCA